ACAGAGACACTGCATTGGAAGTCTCAACAACAACAAAAAAAGACCACAGAGACACTGCATTGGAAGTCTCAACAACAACAACAAACCACAGAGCCACGGCATTGGAAGTCTCAACAACAACAACAAACCACAGAGACACGTAATTGGTAGTCTCAACAACAACAATCCACAGAAATACGGCATTGGAAGTCACAACAACAAACCACAGAGACACGGCATTGGACGTCTCAACACCAACAAACCACAGAGACACGGAATTGCATACGGGCTATGGTCGACTCAAATGAACGTTTCAACAACAACAAACCACATGAGAGACACGGCGACATTCATGGGGAGGCTTGTGGTACATTCGTACTTTCTACGCGGTTATTTTTTTACTTTTAGCGGTCTCAAACAAAGAGGGCCTCAAATGTCCCCCGATGAGAATGGCCTAAAGACGAGCTTAACCTTGACGTTTGAGGTCGTTTCGACTTGTAAGCAGTCACATGCAATCCCTCAAAGCCTTTACCGCCTTTAGGTGATCACAGTAGTGATCAAATCTGCACGCTTTTACTCCACTGTACTCGAAATAAAACAGATATAATGTACGCGATGTTAAAGATAAACGACAACTTCCACACACGCAGCACAGCAACAAAAGTTGTGGCCTGGATACGAAACCAATCGACGCGAAAATTCCATCGTTTTTGTTTGTTTAAAAGACAGAGGAGGAGGAAAAGAAGAAAACAACAAAAACAACAACAACACGCAAACGAACGCAGCCCACCCACCTCGTCCTCTTCGACCTCCGCACTTGGAACTCCATCTTCGGGATGCGACTCAAGAGATGACGGCAACTTCCCAGCTCTTTATCGAGAGAGATGTAGATCTTGACGATGGTCAGTCACACCACCAGCACCACCACCAACCCAAGTGTCTTCTCCACCTTGCCCGGTGGACACGCGTGTGTGTGAGCACTACGGCAGGTAGCAGCCACCCACCTCCGTCGGGAATTCGATGTTGAGCCGAAGCAGAGGCGATGGGCAAACTCGAGGGCGTGACCTGGGATGAACTCGCTCGCTCGCTCTCACGTGATCTCACCTACTCTCACGTGACTCACTCACGTGATCTCACTCACTCACTCGATCTCAATCTCACATACTCACTCGATCTCAATCTCACTCGATCTCAATCTCAATCTCACTCGATCTCAATCTCACTCAATCTCAATCTCACTCGATCTCAATCTCAATCTCACTCGATCTCAATCTCACTCAATCTCACTCGATCTCAATCTCACTCGATCTCAATCTCAATCTCACTCAATCTCACTCGATCTCAATCGCAATCTCACTCGATCTCACTCAATCTCAATCTCACTCGATCTCAATCTCAATCTCACTCGATCTCAATCTCAATCTCACTCGATCTCAATCTCAATCTCACTCGATCTCAATCTCACTCAATCTCAATCTCACTCAATCTCAATCTCACTCAATCTCACTCGATCTCAATCTCAATCTCACTCGATCTCGATCTCAATCTCACTCGATCTCGATCTCAATCTCACTCGATCTCGATCTCAATCTCAATCTCACTCGATCTCGATCTCAATCTCACTCGATCTCACTCAATCTCACTCGATCTCAATCTCACTCGATCTCAATCTCACTCGATCTCAATCTCACTCAATCTCAATCTCACTCGATCTCAATCTCACTCGATCTCAATCTCACTCGATCTCGATCTCACTCGATCTCAATCTCACTCGATCTCAATCTCACTCGATCTCAATCTCAATCTCACTCGATCTCAATCTCACTCGATCTCAATCTCACTCGATCTCAATATCTCACGATCTCACTCTCACTCGATCTCAATCTCACTCGATCTCACTCGATCTCAATCTCACTCGACCTCGCTCACTCACTCACTCGACCTCAATCTCACTCGATCTCAATCTCACTCGATCTCAATCTCACTCGACCTCGCTCACTCACTCACTCGATCTCAATCTCACTCACTTGATCTAACTCACTCTCACACACTGATCTCTCTCTCACTCGATCTCACTATCACTCACTCGATCTCAACCTCACTCGCTCTAACTCACTCGATCTCACTCACTCACTCTATCTCACTCGATCTCACTCACTTGATCTAACTCACTCACACACACTGATCTCTCTCTCACTCACTCGATCTCAACCTCACTTGCTCTAACTCACTCGATCTCAATCTCACTCACTCTATCTCACTCTATCTCACTCACTCTATCTCACTCACTCGCTCTAACTCACTCGATCTCAATCTCACTCTCTCACTCTCTATCTCACACTCTCTGCCGTGCGGTATTTTGAACCTCCTCTTCGACGCTGGCCGTAACGACGCACTGCTGCTGCTGCTGCTGCGTTCGGAAGAGGTGGAGTGCTCAGACTCGATCGCGTTCCGGTTTATACTCCCCCGGTAGCTCAGGTGGGAGTTTCAAGAAACGTGGATTTCAATCAATCGACGCGACCAGCGCATCACTCTTCTGTATATATCTAAATCAGCTCAAGCCTTCCGCAAATCGCACGGCTTGTGTGTGTGTGGCCACCTCCAGTCTCAATCCGTCCACTCTCTCCGACGCCCCCTTTGAAAACACGCGCTGCCACGTGCAGTAACGACGAGGCCATCATACAACCCCCTGCGTCTCTCATCATCATCCTCCTCACCTCTCTCCTCTTTGCTCCCGTTTAACCCGTTCCCGTCTTTCCGTCCGCGTCCTCTTATTGCCATTCCTGTCAACACCTTATCAGTGCCCCTACTTTATTACAGACCAATTCAAGCCTTGTTGGTCACCCCGTGTCCCTTATACATCTCAACGTTAATCCGACAAAGTCCTATCACAAGGGAGACACAAATAAATACAGAAAAACTCAATTTTCCTGAACAAGAACACGAGTAAACCATATGGGTTGCAGAACCGGTCCTAGACCTTTGGGGGCTCTAAGCAAAATTTGGTTGGAGGCCCCTTTGATGTATGATTTTTTTCACCCACGAGCTAGCAGTGACTCTAGGGGGGCCCTCTGCTGGCCACGGGGCCCTTTGCAATTGCAAGGGTCGCTTAGTGGCTGGGCCGGCTCTGATGGGTTGGCACGGTATTACCCAATTGCTGTGGTAGCTCGTGACATTTCCACAATGTGGGGCTGTTGTGAGTGACTTCTGAAAATGTTCTAATTAATACAAACTTCGTCATGTCATTGGCCTTCCCGTGAACGCGATAGAACTCTTATCTATCAACGGGAGGCATTTATAAACATTACGAAACAAAACAAAGCACTGAAATGCTGTTCCCATGACCCTCAAGTCCACACTACGCAACTCCTTTGACATTGGCAAAAGTCGTGACCTATATTTGCACAGTGCAAACTCGCGTTGTGACATCCGTCACATCACAGCCATGGGCGACTTGTTCGCGGCCATGAATGGGTCTGAAACGGCGTGGCCAATATGCTGGAAACAAAAGAATGAAGGGGGATGTATGTCTCTCACTCGGTACACCTTCACAAGTTCACAACCAAAATAAAATAAAATTCACCTACGTGACTTTACCGAAAGAACCAAAGAGTATGGATCCTGCAGTCACGAAAACTTCAAATCTCGAATTAAGTTCACAATCGTTTTGAGGCACAAATCGGACTGTGGCATTGCCACGGTTTCTAATATTAACTTAAATTGTTACCTTCATTAGGAAATTCGCGTTGAAAAATAATTACATAAAAAAACGCACAAAACAATTGAGAAAAGTATTTTTTTATTAGAAAAATAATTTCTCATCTCCATCAACTTGGTGGGGCGGCGCGCCAACGCCCGTAGTGGACTCACCGCGCCTGCCCAAATTATTTCTTTATTTCCTTACATTTTATGGAGTTTTGAGTTGTAACATTACCGCTGAAATCCAATAATTCAGTAACTTACGTACAAACCTCCGAGACACTAATGATAGTTATATTGAGTTGACAGTGAAACTAAACCACAATTTAATAGCTCAAAACTTTACCAATTACACTACCTTAAAAAGGAAACAATACATAATAGGCAACGTTTCAGGTAATTGCCCTTCTCTGTGGCACATACCTTACCGTATTCACACCAAAAAGCGGTTATAATTGTGTTTGAAATAAATTTAATGTACTGCAGTTATCATCTCAGCAACAATGGATGAGAGATCGTCACGGCCAATGGCGATATTGCCACCCCACCACCGCATTCATCATTGTATTCTACATATTGTAGTCCTTATAGAGTCGACACCTGCTAGTCTCCAATGACACCCAACTCATAGTACCTCCCATGGGTACTGCACTGCCTGTGGCTCCCAGTGTGCACGTGTGCGGCACGTGCTGTTCTCACACGTAAAACTCTCTAAATCCGCCGATTGAAAAAAAGAAAGTTGACATGACGACTAACAAACGACACGAGTTCATTGTTGCGTAGTTGTTAAGAGGTGATGTATGTTGAACTTCTTTTGCACCTTAAGTAGCCAACCGTGCTAATCGGGAGCGTGCGGGATGGCCGATGGTCAACGATGGCTGATGGTCAAGACTCAGCGCCGAGTAGCAAACAAGAAATGGAACTGCGTCTGAGATTACGTCCATCGAGATGGAGTGATGAAGCCAGCTGTGCATGTTCTAAGTAACATCGCACGACCACCAGGGCTCGCGACGGCTTTGTGAGGCCTTCATCCAGAATTGGAACGGGGCTGGTGATGAGGCCCGGTAAATTAGGTATGTAAGGATGCCCCGGAGATTAAATTACTGACGCTCATCAGACATCGGACCAAGCGTCTTGCATTCAATGTGCTCTGATAACACCTCTCGCCACGAGGAATTACAGGACGCCACAGTGTAAAAATAGTCTTGAATCGGACCATTGTTACAATTGATTACGAGGTGTGGGTGACTCAATACAGGTTAAGGATGGTAAATCCAACAACAAATGTATCGGTTGATGAAAAAGGCAAATTCAAATGTGTGTACATTGCAATCACGTTTATTCAAATCACTTTATAAAAGTGTTATTACAGTAGAATGAAAAATCAGTATTTTGTATATTCATTTTGACAATCTTGCCATTGAAAAGTTGTACATTTCATAAACCTAATTGAATTTACTTAGTGTTCATATAAGCAGTAATAGTGTACACAAATTACTGATCGTGTAAATACCACTTTAGATATCACCTGGAGACTTCATTTCATGAGTTAAAATATGAAGCGTGTTTAAAGTAATCAATTTGATTTAAAACTGAACAGAGTCAAGATTGGACGTAATTCCAAGCTCTCTAGGGCTCCCTCCAGTGGAGGCCCTTCGCCACACGCCGTGATGGTGACGTGACCCAAGTCATTGCTGGGCTGCATATTTACTGGTCATAGTTACAAATCAGATTTGTGGAATACACGTTCAATCAACGCATCGATAAATGAATACATTTTGTTCTTTGGCACAACTGCATTTACTAATAATTAATTATCGTCGTTCATCTGCCCTTGATTACGAGTTGGCATGGTGGTCCGCAGAACTCATAAGCGAGCGATACTCCAGTTGATTACGGCCCATGAGCATATACACCTTGTACTTCCTCTCATAGAAGCTGCACACATCACCAAATCAATATTTTAATTACGTGAATGGCATGTCAGGCACTAATGTATATCAAATTAAAATAAGTTGACAACTGCAAGATTTGTTATTTCACATAGGCGAATTTTAACACAATGTCTGCTACAATTTATCACTAATATGTATCTGCATTCACAACAGCCTGCACACCACAATATGATGGTTAATAAAAATGTAAAGCCCTGTAAATCCACTGCAGGATAAGGCTTCCTAACCATGTGTCAGTCATGGGGGTTGTTTGACCATACTTCACCACACAGCTCGGTGCAGGTGAAGGGGTTCAGAGGACAATTTGAGATATCACTCGTGACTGATATTAGCCATGGATGAAGAATTAGCTCCATTTTCTGGCCTCATATTACAATGTCAACAACTGCACGATTGCTCCATCCCCGTTAATACACTTAAGGGGCCAGATTTATATTTTGATGAAAAGGCTAAAGCACACGGACTCAGCAAAATGCCCCATTGTTAGTAAAGAAAATGTGAACACTTTTTCACCATTTCGATTTAAAGCTTTCGTGACTGCAGGGATTAATCTTCTTGGTTCTTTCGGTAAAGTCACGTAGAATGGAAATAATTATTATATTATATTAATATATTATTGTATTATATAATTATATTATGTTTTATTTTTATTATTTTATTATTTCCATTCTACGTGACTTTACCGAAAAAACCAAGAAGACTTTTTCACCATTTTTCCAAATGCATTAAACAAGTAACTCTTCACCTACTTTATATACTGTATACATGTGACTGGCAATAAGAGCAAGCGGTGTTTTAAAGGCTTACTGCACTACTCCTGATCACGGCTCTAAATCTAAACGAGTCCAAGTTTTTTAAGCGTATAATGGGCTTACCTTCTTACAGCAGGGTCTGGATGAATCACCTTGCCAACCCTTACCATGTGCTGCATTGCCTCCTGCAATTATGCACATCAATTCATAGTTGTCAGTGCTGCGATAAAAGCTGACTGATCCATAAGTATTCAGGATTATATTCGTAATTTACCACCGTCAACGGAAAAACACAAATGAGCCTCACCTGCATGGATGTAAAATCTTTAGAGGCGCAAGCTCCCAAAATGGCCGCCCCAACCACCACAGCCTCGGCCTCTGCTGGAAGCACAACAGGAAGACCTGCCGGACAGAAACAAGCACAACTTACCAACATATCGAGCACAAGCTATACATTTACTATCTCAACTGGTAGTGGTGTGGTTGTTTTACATGAACGCAGACATACATATGGTTTCTCACGCAACTGAGCATGGGGTGACGCCAATCTCCTATCTATAACCCTGATCTTTAAGTGGGATTCCGCATGTGTATGGTGGTGGTGAGTATTTTCATTGAGCAAATCCTCACAAAGTAGTACTAATTTTATCGAAGCCAGAGTGATGAAGGGCCAAATTGACCCCTGACTGGAATTATAACTCACACCGATTGAACGCTGTGCATCCTACTGATTAAAAAAAACCCAACATTTATTTTTCCTTAGCCATTAATATCCCACCACTAGTCAAAGGCCTCCACTATTTTATTACATTTTTCACAACTTCTTGTCACCTCCATCCAGTGTTTACATCTCAAGCCTTATAGTGTTACGTAAACAAGATACACTGAACGTTTGACCAGAGTACGACGGTACATCACACAAACGAGACCTCAATACGTGCAAAATCTGGGGATGCCACTTTTAACCATAGACATTTATGAGAGGGTCCACCGTGCACACGTTTAATGAGGTAATCACCCGTTTCAGACAGGTTCATGGAGACATTCCAAGCAGTGTATGGGAATGTTGGCTTACCCGTGGCATCTGCATGTGCCTGCACGTACAATGAATTTTTGCTCAGCCCTCCACACATGAATATTGCGCTCACATTGTGGCCCGATTGTGTCATCGCATTAAGGATGTGGCGTGTCCCAAGCTATGGGTGGAAGACACAAACAGTTGGCATTATTACTTTAAAAAAGGTTATGCAGCCGTGATCAATTCATATTTATAAAAAAAAATCGTAAAAAACATGTTTGTGTTAATGTAAATGCATTCCCATAGCAGTTGATATTTCATGTTATTGTTTTTATATTACGATGTTAAACATTTACCAGAATACCAGGTTTGAAATTCAAGTTATATTTGTACAAGTGCCATTTACTCTTATAATGACTGTTTGGAAATCTAATAAGACAGATACAAATATGCAAGTCCTTAAAATATTACTTAGACTTAAAACTTTCATGACTGCAGGAATTAATATTCTTGGTTCTTTCGGTAAAGTCACGTAGATAGGACACAAAACTCAAAATTAAAAGCAATTTTTTTTTGTCAAATAAATGCCATTAGGAGAGAGTGAACACATTTTGATTTAAAGCTTTCGTGACTGCAGGGATTCATATTCCTGGTTCTTTCGGTAAAGTCACGTAGAAGGGAAACAATAAAATAATAAAAATCTAAAACTCTCACGACGTTTCGATTGAAACACATTCTCACGACGTTTTGATTGCAACACAATCGAAACGTCGTGAGAATTTATTATTTTATATTTTTATCATTTTATTGTTTCCCTTCTACGTGACTTTACCGAAAGAACTATGAATATGAGAGTGAACAAGTTTCAAGTTGAAATACATACTAGAGAAGCCATGTTGAAAACAACACATCAACCATAGCACAATACCAACAGTAGCTGCTGCATAGGTTTTTGCGGATGCGCCACTTTATCGGTATTCGATGCATTTTTTGGTTGTACCATCTAGATTAAACTTCAAATCTAGATTGTACCATGTTGTTCTGCATGTCCGACGTTTCACTCCAAGTGATGGGAGTTTCATTACGCAGAACACTTGGCAAAACCAGAACTACATCGGAGAACCAACCCGTGATCGTCAAGTCGCTTTCAACTCACAGCGAGGGCTTGCAGGGTGGCCAAGTAGAGTAGCACCAGGCTATCACATGTGCGGCTCAAGTCCAAACCAATCACCTGAAGGTACAAGACAAGATGGGATTTCCCTATATTTAGACAATTGCATTGGCGTTATTTTATGAAGAGTACACCAGTTTAATATGATGCATCAACACCGCAATGAGAACAGCATGAAATACCAAGTAAAAATACAACTGGACCATCAGTCACAACTCATTACATTTTGCCCACACAACACTAGCCCAATCTGATAAGTAATCCCTCTTGTTGCATACACAGAGGATGGTTGTGCAAAGTCACAAAGAAATAGGCAAGTTACCAAGATATTGTCATAAGTTAAAATAACCGTAAGTAAAAAAAAATCCACAGTTATTGTACGCAATGATTCCACAATCTGAAGCCTGTGGAGTTCAAAGCTCATAGTTGAACAAGACTTTGATGGAAATGTAGATATTAATAACGTAAAACCGTACCATTCCCTTGCGGGAAGAGTCGGCTAGCGGGGATCGGTTGCCATGGAAATCCGGGCACACGTGGAGGTCAGAAGTCAAAGTAGCAGGTGGAGCTCCCTCAGTTGCCATAGAAACCACTCGCCGATTCAGCCATTCATAGGTTGACTGACCGCTGGTATAATACAAAAGGATTAAAGTTAATATGTGGAAGGTGTATGGATTTTATTATGATGGCACAAGTGCATGGGTTTATCTTAAGATATGGCAGAATTAAATTTCTACTTCTGTTGTGATGAGGTGCAGTCATAAATCAAATTTGATGAAAACGTCACCTGGCATCAGCAATTTTCTTCAGCTCATTGTATGCAGGATGACCAGCCACTATATGTTCAATCTGTACACGACAAGACATTGACACAGACAAACAATTATTCTTGCATACACATGCATGCCAGAACACAAGCACACACACACACACATGCAATCGTCAATGTCATTCTGCCACAGTTGTGTAATGTATGTGATGGATGGATTAGAGACCAGGCTTCCTGTGGCACTCTGTCCTCCCTCGTTGAGCCAAAGTCCAGGAAGCACGACCGAGAGGTACGGCCCCCACACACCACCCACAAACAGCGCCTTGTCGCTCAGCTGTGTGAACAGCAGCAAAGAGGGTGATGGCGAGTCAGAATAAGAAGACTAAAGACGGTACAGAATTATTCTCGATTACAGACGAAACGTCTACATGCATACACAAACCTTTGTCGATCCATTTCTGGATGAGGGCCTCCCCACGCTGCGTTCGTCGTTTTTGTAACTCAACTTGACATGCTGGTCAGTGCAGGTTGTGGGCATTTAGTTGAACACGTGTGAGGCCTTCGCGACCAATGTTATTCATAATCAACGATTTTTGGGTTTAGATCGCGTTTATTTATAAATGTGTCGTAACCCTCCACCACCCGACACGGCCAATCAGTAAAAATGTGTCACGTTGACAAAGACAAATAGTTCACTGCTTTAGCCCACCGGTGTGTTGAAGCAACAACATTTACAATTTGAGTACGACGTTTCGCTGGTAATTGCAACCAGCATCATCGGGCAATTGCTTCAACACACCGGTGGGCTAAAGCAGTGAACCAGCATCATCGGGCAATTCTGGCGAATTGCCCGATGATGCTGGTTGCAATTACCAGCGAAACGTCGTACTCAAATTGTAAATGTTGTTGCTTCAACACACCGGTGGGCTAAAGCAGTGAACCAGCATCATCGGGCAATTCTGGTGAATTGCCCGATGATGCTGGTTGCAATTACCAGCGAAACGTCGTACTCAAATTGTAAATGTTGTTGCTTCAACACACCGGTGGGCTAAAGCAGTGAACTATTTGTCTTTGTCAACGTGACACATTTTTACTGATTGGCCGTGTCGGGTGGTGGAGGGTTACGACACATTTATAAATAAATGCGATCTAAACCCAAAAATCGTTGATTATGAATGTGGGAACTTACAAGTACGGTACAAAAAATGGGGTTTGCTGCTTGTTTTGCTAATGTTGGTCACCCACTATTAAATCACAGATAATCACACAAATGTGTAGCCGACACTAATGGCCCGTAAAACAGAATCATCTCGAAAATTAAGAGTGAAAATAAACTTTTCTTGAAAATAAAATGTTTTATTCTCAATAAAAAATTTCTCACGTGTTTGTAAAGCACAATATTACATTTGAAAGTGTGTACCATTTTGCGTTTAAAATATTGTTTATAAGCAATACATTTGGTGGCAAACTTACAGCCATGTGACAGGTTGATGTGCCACCAATCATTGATAACCTGGCTGTGATTGGCTGGCTTTCACAGGCCAGGCCCAAGCCAGTGACGTCTCCTCCAATCACACCTAGGCAAACATTGACAGCCTCACACAAATGAAAATTCCAATTAAACTTCACGGTGTTGTAGGTTCATACCCACATTTCTTCCACAAGGTCGGCATTATTTCACAATAAAAGCAGCTAAAACAATCTTTCAATATCCCTGGGATCATAGGGTTATGTGAAAAGCTAATTACATCTAAATCATGTTTTTGTTGTTTTTGCAGAGACACCCTGCAAATGTATGACAAGGAGTTCATCCCAGCAGCAGTCACTCACCGATAGTGCCGGCATGTGCATCGATGAGAGCAGCTCCCACAGCAGTGCCAGGTTGAAGGCCCAGCTCATCGGCTGCATGCATGGTCAGGCCCCCTGATAGGGGCTGGCCAGGTCCCAGGAAGTCAACACCTGCATGGGTCAATGCACGCACGCACGTACGTACGGATGGATGGATGGACGACTGCAGCTTTGTGCTAATACATTTGCTCGCACACTCCGGGGAGTCGTTACTGTGTATGCCTCCCCCACCTATTCTTGAATATCCTTCTTGGCAAATGTCAGATAATCCAATCTCATCCCAGAAAGATTGATCCCATCCACTGTCCACGTTGTAAGTCCATTTGCACACCACACAGCAGAGAGATCTGCAATTGCACAACGGAAACATTGTATGCATCACTGTGCACTAAATTAAACAATTGACAACACAATACGAAATCCTGCTTGAATCCTAAATTTAGCCAAGTAAACACTCGTTATATGCACAAGAGCGAACGATGATGCCTTATCAACTTCAATTAAAACATTCACGCGAGTTTACGTGCCAATATTCTCCAGTTTGTTCATCAGTATGTTGCTGTTTACTGCGCACATAATAACCAGTTGTCTCGTGGCCTATCACTTGGATGGCTGCAAGAAAACGTAGTCTTCTTTTTTTACATTTAGAGTGGCACACTGAAAGGCTATTAGCAAAAAACATCACTTGGTTGGTGCAGACGTTGATAAAGGCTTCCTCCACTCATGTACTATATGATTACACCTTTACAGAAGGATATCTTGAGTTTTTGGTTCTTATTCAACTCAGACTAGCAAATTGAAGGAGCTGGCCTCTATATTTCAAATGCAGTTTCAAGCAAGGACAATATTCGGAGGAGATGCAAAAGTCAGTTGATTTTTAGCACTTGGTACAGTCATTTGTGTGTATGTTGAACTTAATGGGCACCATACATAGGCAACGGTGCTAATTAGAGGCACGGGAAATAGTATGAGATTGCAAGTGACAATGTGATGATTATGACCTGGTCAGAGATCCTGTTGCCTTCCACGTCAAGAAATCCGGAAGATCAAAAAAATGCCATGCCTTCTTCCACGAGTCTGGGAGGTTCTAAGGAATTAAATTAAATCATGGTACATAACTGTTATACTGTTGTGTAATACATGCAAACACTTATTGCTGAACTTTTGACTTGAAGACAATTAAAAAGACAGCACTCCTGCATTTTGACACCTGCAAAGCTTGTGTCTCCCAGAATAGTCTAACGCGGAAATGAAGTTTCGTAAATTAGAAAACACCTTTACAATCACAGGCAGGTGCTACGTACGACAATGTTTTAGTGTTATCACTGCAATTAAGTATTCACATCAACACATCACACGGACACTGCGGTTACAAATGGGGACTCAAAGACACTCCACAGTGCGAAAGTGGTGCACCTCAAATGATGGAACATCTCTTGAACAACTGTTCAATGTTACTCATTCCTCGGAAACATCTCAGGGACTTACTCTGCATCTTTAAAAACTCTTGACTGGATATACAAAACTTAACATGATCCAGTCAAATATTGCTATTTCTCCAGACGACATCATTGATGTTTTCAAATGTATGGGTATCGTTTTGCAGTGATGTAAATGGAGTTCTGTAATGCATTGTCTAGACTTTTGTTCACATTAATTAAGCTTAAAACTTGTGTTTCACAGTCCAGGACACACAAATTAGGTATCCATCTACAATATTAAGAAATATTAATTTTCTGAGTTGTATATTTAGTCCTTTAACAGCAAACATTATGCACAACTTACGCGTGGTTGTATACGAATCGTCACATAGAATCAGAATCTGTATTTATACTCGAGGAATCCGATGAGGTACAATGCTCTTTTTCACAGCTGTCCAGTACGGGCAGGTCTAAACGTTACAACAACACACAATATAAAAACCCGATAAGAGTGTAAATGATAGGAAAAGGTAAGCAAATCACTGATTAAAATATACAAATAAAACGAAACAATTTTTATCTTACCAGGTAAAGCCCACTGAGCTATTAGCTTATTTTGTCTCACCCGTTTAAGCCACAGCAGTTTTGGGGGCTGCATCTCAGGAGACATGACCCCGCCGAGTGATGCCAAGACCGCGTGTCGCGTGCAATTTATCTGGTCCGCCTCACCGATGGCACGGTGGTCGCACCACATCACAATATTACGGCACCTTTCCCCTGTGTAAGAGGCATCAGGGTATTTCGCCATTAATGTTGTCAGTCAATGTTGGCAGTTAATGTAATAGATCATTATTACAGCTTCGTCCATTGTCAACGATAATGAGTGCAGGTGTTTGGCCTCTTGCATTCTGTGCACTCATTCTCCTGTTCATGCGTGTGCAATACTATTATGATGAGTTTTAAAGTCTCGTTTATAACACTTTACTGGGCACATTTGCCATCAGTACAAACAAATAGGCAATAAATGCACCTATGCTAGGAAGTCTAAAATTAATACAAAAATTCAGAAGTTTTCATTTGTATAAAAAATTGTGCCGTGTGTAAGAATATCAGGCACTAACCTAAATAAAGCAAAGTGTCAGTTAATTTTAAAGGTGCCAATTACCTTCTTCATTAACTGGAAGCGGGCCAAAGTTTTCATCCAGAACCACCAGCGAGCATGTGGCATCAAAACCTATCCCACGTATCTGATGCACGTCCACATTTGTGGTCACTTGCTGCATACAATGAAGACGTGGCAAAGTGAGGTGGGAGAGAAAATAAGAAAAAACAAGGAATATTAATTTGGTAGTAAGTGCAGTACTAAAACACAGGCACTGAATATACTGCTGCACTCAAATGAAATGGTAAAAAGGTTCCACAAAATGATGTAATATTAACAGTAACTGAATTTATATGTTCACATGCTGAATTCCATATTGGAAGTCTGTGCATTAACACGAGAGGCACATTCTCACATTCGGCATACTCACAATTTCATGAATTGTCACGATAAGGGGGTAATAGATGTGGAATATTATGCCAGGGCATTTTGTGAGAAAAAAATCTAAATGCATTTACGAAAGTGCCAATTCTGAACCTTATACCATGTGAAGCAAAGAACAGCACACATATATATGCAATTCCATGTGTTTGCAGGATGCAACTTAATTTTTTGATTAGGGAAAGGGAACTCCCTACCAATATAACCAAAACCACAGCTCTTTTCTATTGTTTAGATTTGTCCATAAGACACCTGTGCAAAATGCAGTACTGAATATTAAACAGCCTACACCTTTGCAGGTGTTACAGACAAATAGTAATGGGCGAGTGAATGTGCGATATCATGTATTTTGTAAAGGGGTTTACAAAGTAACCAATCCTGGCACAGCTAAATAACTAACCCTGGCACAGCTGAATATACAAGACTATTCACATTTGTTTGAGAGTGTAAAGGTATCTGCAACTGAAGACGTTGCACAAAGTAAGAGGACATGTCCATTACGGGGACCACCTAAAAAGGCAGGCATGTTTCTAAGTGTGCGATTGAACACACACTTCTATAAAAGTAAGTCTTCCACTTGGACTTGTGGTGGAGAGTTATCAACATTTACGGCTAACTTGTTAAATTCGTTGTACATTAATCGTCGCCTTTTCAGGCACACGCAAGACTAATGACAGAGTAGCAACCGAAGAAGGGGAACAATCCCAACCGGATATCAAATGGAGTGTTGAAAACGGCACCGATGTAGAAGCTAAACGGAGTGTTGCGTTGCAAGACCATGAGAGACGGCGATGGCTTGGAGAGACCTTGACACAATGGAAGATATTCTTGGTTCCACCATTGGAAAAAGGCGCTTTTTGGCGTCATCTGGTCCAACCCATGTGAGACTAGGCTCTAAGGAAAGCTGTCTCGGGTGTGGACCAATCAACTTCAAGGACAGTACATACATTATCAAAGTTATGTTTTTTGTTTGCATTATGACCGCAGGAATTGTGGTCTATGCAAACATGACTCCTTGTAAAAAAAGGTGTCAGTTTTGTTGCCAGATAGAAGGGTAAAAAAACAATTATCATATTCTTGGTTCTTTCGGTAAAGTCACGTAGAAGGGAAATAAGATATAAAACAATCAAATTCTCACGACGTTTCGACTGCAACACAAGCAATCATCATCAGGTGTGAAATCCAGAGCAAGAAAATTTGTGGATTTCACACCTGATGATGATTGCTTGTGTTGCAGTCGAAACGTCGTGAGAATTTAATTGTTTAATATTTTTATTATTTTATTATTTCCCTTCTACGTGACTTTACCGAAAGAACCAAGAATATGAATCCCTGCAGTCACGAAAGCTTTAAATCACGATGTAAGATGTTAGGGTGCAGCGGTTACCCGGACGACGTGACAACACGCCCGCCACACGTCCTGCGAGTCTTGCTCATAGCGGCCAGCCTGTGGTTGATGGACGCGTATCTCCTCTGAGGCCCATGCGTGCACCGTGCCGTCGCGATCGACCAGGCCGGCCCGCACGCTCGCAGTGCCAACGTCCACCCCCACGTACCATGCCATCGGCAGCCTGAGGGACAGCATCCACGCCGTTATCAGTGCAGTTTGAGAACAAGTTTAAAGTTCAAGTTCATTTATTAGGTATAGCCCTGTGAGCCATTCGGCTCTTGAATCGGGTGCAACCGCAACAAACAAAAAACTAAAACATGAACAAAAACATCTTAAAGTGAATATGTGACTGAGTGCAAACAGAAAATCCAAGAAAAGACAGCAAAATATTGCAGAAAAAACACCGTACACCAACGCTGTGTGCAAAAATCCCAGTGGGATGCAAGTCAAAGAACAACAACTACAAGACAACTTAGATTAAGGCCATCAGTCTATGTCTGTACTACAACAAACAAACATGGCTAAACCAATACACTTTTCGAAATCAGGCACATATGTCCACAAACTGCTCTTGAACAAGACGTAAATAGCTGTCCGATGTGGTTTTGGGGTTGTAACGTGTGTTGTTCGGCATGATGTCCGACGTTTTGCTCCACGTGCTGGAAGCTCCTTCAGGAACTGAATGGAGCAGTTCACGTTACGTAATTAAGAATGTGAGCCGATACATGCAGTTGCTGAAGCTCTGAGCACGTCACGCGAAATTTTGGACGTCTCGAATAACACGCAGTACAACCAGAAAACCCATCAGAGAAGCTATGCAGCACAACAGTGAAACCCCATTTCATAAAATGTTCATAAAAATAACAGGCTAACTTTGTTCCTGTAGCTACTGAAGTTGAAAATGCACTGATTTTAGCTCTACTCTTGCAATAATGTGACATTTATAAGCGCCAATTACTCATTGAGGTAGGAGAGCCTCAATTATTCTCAGGACTCATGTTCAGGAGGCCCAGTAACCTCTGACTCAAGTGGTTTTGTGGGATTCTACGGTACCGGACGAAGCCCCACGCACATCAGCGGGTCACACGCTTCACGCAAGAATCACTCCCTCTTGGCCACTCTCCCATCTCCTTACGAAGCTGAAAAGTCCAGATCGTGAGTGCCGAGAATTTCTCCGAAAGCCAATTACGGCAATAAACCCCATTGGCGTCTCCCCACATTCTACGTCGTTTCTCAAATTTACGTCGTCATCTTCTTGGTTCTTTCGGTAAAGTCACGTAGAAGGGAAATCATAAAATAATAAAAATAAAATATTTTATTATGTTTTATTTTCATTATTTCCCTTCTACGTGATTTTACCGAAAAATTAAACATAAAATATTTTATGTTTTATTTTTACTATTTTATTATTTCCCTTCTACGTGATTTTACCGAAAGAACCAAGAAGATGAATCCCTGCAGTCACGAAAGCTTTAAATCGAAATTTACGTCGTCTCGACCCCCCACACTTACGTCGCTGTCAGCATAATCTCGTCCTCTCTCGATATCCGTGGCATCTCAGATCTTCGCCTCCACCACCATCATCTACTAACCCTCGTAAATCGCTTTGATTTCACGTCGTTTGGAATATTCGTCAGGAACGCATTCCCCAACGTGGGGGGCTTTTTGTCGACCCTGGCGCAAATTCACACGTGGCCAGGAGAGGGGAGGGGAGGTCTAAAGTTGCAGGTGACACTTGGAGGGGTTCTAAATTTGCAGGTGAAACTAACACGATAAGTGATTAAACGGCGTGTGTCTACATCCCAGAGCCCTTGTTAAATCCACTGCTGGATGAGGGCCCTCCACACGCCCTGTCGTCATGGTGGGGGGGGGGGAGGTTGTTTCGACCATACTTCCCCACGTGGGTCAGCATCAAGGTTGGTGTGCCAGGCCAGGTTGAGATATTCACTTCCCAAGCGACGATGTCGCGTTCACAGTCGAGCGCGCTAACCGCTGCGCCACCGCTCCCCTCAGTACCGTACATTGCAAGCGATTTTAAGAAACAAAATGTTTTAAAAGGACAACTTTAGGCGACTCGTTTACACAATCGCAACGGTGCCGGGTTGGCCACAGCACGCTGCGTGAGCGATACGTTTTCAAGGAGACACACTCCACGTTCCCAGACCGAGGACCAGGACAGTTCACAAGGCAAACTCCACCGGAGCCACCCCACCCACCCCTTACAATTCTGTCACTCGTCATGTCCACCAATGTACACATATATCCTTGCATGTTAAACCGTAACAATCGCACGAGCGTGTCACGTTAAGCGAGTGTCAACGTACTTTTGAAGGCCGAGTTGTAGTAACAACTTCCAACTTGGCCTCGTCAGCGAACTCGCAGGGAGCGTCTTCCCGAAGAATCTTCCAGCAGCCGGAGGGTTTCTTCTTCTTCTCCTTATTCCTCCTCCTCTGCTTCTTCTCCTATTATTATTTGTTCTATCTTTCGTGACTTTACCCAAAGAAACCAAACGGTATGGATGGATTCCTGCAGTCACGAAAGCCTCCGTGTCGTGTTTTTGTTCATCCGCTCGGTAGATGCCTTCCGGAACCGGTAGAGACACATTCCAGAACGGGGAGAGGGAGTCAATCACCCAACCGGGAGTCACTCTGACACCGGCAGGGACCTCCTGGTGACACCAGCCCACAAGGGATTGTTGTGTCCGTCCGTCGTGCAGGGAGGGGCTGGGTGGGGAGGGAGGGGGCTGCGTGGGAAGGGTGGGGCTGGGTGGGGAGGGTGGGGAGGGGCTGGTTGGGGAGGAGAGGGTGGGGAGGGGCTGGGTGGGGAGGGGAGGGTGGGGAGGGGCTGGGTGGGGAGGGGCTGGGTGGGGAGGGGCTGGGTGGGGAGGGGAGGGTGGGGAGGGGCTGGGTGGGGAGGGGACGGTGGGGAGGGGCTGGTTGGGGAGGGGCTGGGTGGGGAGGGGAGGGTGGGGAGGGGCTGGGTGGGGAGGGGAGGGTGGGGAGGGGCTGGGTGGGGAGGGGAGGGTGGGGAGGGGCTGGTTGGGGAGGGGCTGGTTGGGGAGGGGCTGGGTGGGGAGGGGAGGGTGGGGAGGGGCTCGGTGGGGAGGGGAGGGTGGGGAGGGGAGGGTGGGGAGGGGCTGGGTGGGGAGGGTGGGGAGGGGCTGGTTGGGGAGGGGCTGGGTGGGGAGGGGAGGTTGGGGAGGGGCTGGTTGGGGAGGGGCTGGGTGGGGAGGGGAGGGTGGGGAGGGGCTGGGTGGGGAGGGGCTGGGTGGGGAGGGGCTGGGTGGGGAGGGGCTGGTTGGGGAGGGGAGGGTAGGGAGGGGCTGGTTGGGGAGGGGCTGGGTGGGGAGGGGCTGGGTGGGGAGGGTGGGGAGGGGCTGGTTGGGGAGGGGCTGGGTGGGGAGGGGCTGGGTGGGGAGGGGCTGGGTGGGGAGGGGAGGGGCTGGTTGGAGAGGGGCTGGTTTGGGTAGGGTGGGGCTGGGTGGGGAGGGGCTGGGTGGTGGGTGGGGCTGGGTATGTAGGGGCTGGTCACCCCGTGGTGCCCTTATAAAACTCAACGTTTAACCTACTCACGCCGGCTTGTGCCCGCCCTCACAGTCGGGCATATTTGCGGAATACACCACGCCGCCGTTGACCCTGCAGGCCATTGCCCGAGCAACCCAACGTTCCTACCAGCTCCCTCCGCAAGGAATGTGTTCGGGGAAAGGTTTCGGGAAGGGGCACATCGAGAGCCCGCTAGTAGGTTCCAGAAGGGGGATGTGGCTGGGGACACAGCCAGGCCACGCTGACAGTATAAGAGGCACCCCGGGAGGGGACCTCGGGGCTGTCGTTTGGAGCGGGATCCCAGTCATTGCTATTGAAGATCGTCGACATCGTCGCTGTAGTCTCGTCACCTTCGTCGATGTCGTCTTCACCTGATATTGAGCTGCTAGAGGGTAGTTGGGTGTCTCGGTTCAGCGCCGTCAGTGTCAGACGGCTAGTGTTGTGTATAGGCTACGTGACTTTAGCGAAAGAAGCAAGAATATGAATCCCTGCAGTCACGAAAGCTTCAAATAATAATTTAACTTACGTAGAGTTGTGTTTTAAGAGAGAGGGAAGGGTGTGTTCCAGCGTAGGGTGTGTATTGTGCAAAGGGTGCTCGATTTAATGAAAGAACTGCCTCCAAGAACTTGAGTCTCCAAGTCAGTCACTACACACACAGTCGCAGGGATTTCGCTACGGATACATACTCTTTGTTTTCCATTTTTCCCTCCAACATATCTTCTATCTTCCAGTGAACGTATTGAATGTGACTTGCTTTGATCAAATTTATCTCGAATCTCCCTTGGCACCCATCTTTAAGTTTTAACTGTCATTTCTGAATTGTATTTTCATCAGCAGTTATTATGACTGTCCCCAGCAAATCTGAGATAGTGAATATTTTGGGATACAGGATAAACATTTTCGCTAAAGTTATGCACATAAATCAGGTGTTTTAAAAAATTTACTGAAACAATGAATGCATATAAATGTAGAAAAATATTATTTGCATACATTTAAAAAATATTTGTAAACAAGCACTATTAGCCTTAATATTAAGCCATTAAGTGATGCACAATTACCTACTTTTCACCATATTTCTTGCAAAATTGCAAACATTTCAATGGACTTTTATCTTCACTCAATAAACAACCAACTCAGGACAAAGATGCCCAAATATGTGTTTAACATTTTAATAAAAGGCACAGTTCCGTATATCCCACACGTGGGCCATACTTTGGGGCCTCCTGGTGTAACAATCGCAGCAAGGCCACGTCGATGACAATTGCTGAGCAAAAATAAATACCAAAAAGGAGGGCCCACTCGTTATGCACCACAACATTTGTCTACATTCCCCACCCACACTCTTGCAGGGGGTAAGGCAAGAATAACACAACATAAACCTGCTGAAAATCTTTTATCTATAACTTATTGTTTTGCTACGGCTGTTTAATAGAATCACCCGCCCCCCCCACCTCCAGTGATTCAAAGTTTGGGGTTGCAATCAGAGAGTCGTTTTGCCTCATTTTAACATCCCGTTTGGATTTTCTTGCTAAAATGAACAAAATGTAATCTCTATTTTGCAGTTTTGTTCACTGTAAAAAAGACTGCAACCGTCCATAAGTTGTAAATTGATTCTCACACGCACGATTCGACGCCTAGTATTGTGAGGATAAAGTATTTTAATCTAACAGATCCAGCGTTACATGCCGAGCGCTTACTGCAGGTCTAAACTCAGCAGCAATATCCCAGAAATTATTTTTACTGGCTGCATGTCACAATGTGTTATTTCACAGACTGACATATTATTATCCTAAGACATGGTCAATCTGTTGCTGGATGAAGGCATCCACAATTCGTCACCATCTCTCGCGATGCTTGCGACGTTTTTGCAACGTGAACGTGGAAATGGTGAGCTTCAACTGCTGCAAATACGTCCATGTTCATGGACGATAACATGACACGTTTAAATGAGCAGAGGAGATTAGCACATAAATGCGAGAATTATGGTTATTAATATTCTGCAGACATTACTGGTAAACTTGTAGCACTCGTAACTTGCAAATTGCTCTCGGCGAGATAGCGAAGCATTTAAAAAAAACTTTTGTTACACATTACAAGAACTGGAAAGTGCTACTTATAAACACTGCAATGCTAAAAAAAAATCGCTATTTCCTGTTTAATTTAGATTTAGAAAATGTTTTTTTCATTAAATACAACAGATTCGCAAAAAATATGAACTTCCAACCATGCTTATAACAACACCCAAATGAAAAGTACAAAATGGTAAATCCTTTTAGTGTTTACAAAACGGAAAAAGACAGAAATTTACTCTGAAAAAGTATTGCATTACCAGTCTGGCAAATCCTCAAACGTGTAAAAAACACTTCTCTTAAAATGTCACTTGGAATGAAATACAATTCTGGAGAAGAAATCATATACTATTTAAGAATATATTATTTAAGAATTTTACCTTTAAAAAAAATGCACATAGCATCTTCGCTGCTTTGCGATTAAATATATCCTAGGCAAAGTGGAGTGGTATACAATATTTCAAGGGGATGCTGCAGGAAACAATTAAAATAGCATAAAACAAGGTAATATCTGGAGATATTCAACCAAGATCAACGATCACGATGTCACCACAGCCAAAGCCAACGATGCCACCGCATTTCACTGCCAAGGTTTTCTACCCTACGCCAGATCGTGCATCTGCTGGACAATCCATATTGTAATCTCACAAGATGTGCCTTAACAGTATTTTAGGTCTTCCCCTTAGTTACCAGATTCGTGGAGACCAACTCCAATGTATGCCTTGACAATCGGAACCTCGCCCATCCTGCACACATGTCCTACCTGGCACAATTGTATTTTCAGAATGATATCTGAGGATGTTTGTCTTAATCCAGTTCCCATTGTAAACACACACAATTCGAATTATTTCCAATGCTTCATGCCGAAACCATTGCTTTGTTATGGATAAGGTAATCAGTCAAACTCCAGTAATCTCACAGCCTACCTCTTGACCATTGATGAGGGGATAGAAGAGGTCACCGAATACCAGATGGAAAAGCAAATTCTGAAAATATAAAAGATACTTCATAATAAAGGGGTTTGGGTTAGATCGCGTTATTTATAAATGTGTCGCAACCCTCCACCACCCGACACGGCCAATCAGTAAAAAATGTGTTACGTTGACAAAAGACAAATAATTCACTACTTTACCCACCTCTGATTTCTGCACATGATTGGGTAGAGTGTTTGGGTTCAGTTATTAAATAATACACATTCCAACTAATTACTAATCTATAACTGATTATTAATCAAAACAATTAACTGATTACAAATCTGTTATACTAATATGATCTCTGCATCTGATTGGGTTAAATGATGACGTCACCCTGCTGCTATATTTAAGACCCGGAGCAGATGGAGGGCTTCACTATTCTGGCAAATTGCCCGATGATGCTGGATGTAATTACCAGTGAAACGTCGTACTCAAAAATTGTAAATGTTGTGGATTCACTCTTCCAACACACTGGTGGGCGAAAGCAGTGAACTATTTGTCCTTTGTCAACGTGACACATTTTTACTGATTGGCCCTGTCGGATGGTGGAGGGTTGTGACACATTAATAAATAACGCGATCTAACCAAAAAACCTTTATTATGAATAATATTGGTCGCGAAAGCCTACGGGATAAAATATACTCTTTGCATAGCTTATTGAAAAATAAGGAACGTTTGTAAAACTGAGATAATTTTAAAGTGTTATCTAATGGTGATCAAAACAATAACGTTAAACATCAATACCGTACATTATTACAACAATTTAACACGTAGGCTTTCGCGACCAATATTATGAATTATTACAACAGCCATTGCGATAACGATCATAACCGTGTGAACATCAAAATAAGAATAATTTAGAACCCTTTGTCAATCCACTCAGGATGCAGGCCTGCCTATGTTGTGTCATTCATGGGAATTGTTTTTACCATACTTCACCGCAGTAGTGAAATAACCAGGGCAACCGTTGGGTTCGAATTGCAAACTCCCTGCAATAAGCGGCAAATGCGTCACTGCTTGGCCATGTCGCTGTGTGTATGTTCAACTTCTTTCGCACCGTACGCAGCCAACCGTGCTAATTCGAGGTGAAGAGGAAAATGTCTTTTGAAGCAGGAGCACGGTCCTAGCTGGGCAAAGTGGGGAAGGGCTTGAGTCCCATCTGCTTGTTCAAGAAAAGCTTGTGTACGATGATGTTGGCGACGGGCTCTTGTGTGGGCAAGGAGGGGCTGTAGGTGTCCAGGAGGCGGCGAACCTTGGCCGTGCGAGTTGGCTGTGTCAACACGGACTCGTAGTCCTCCCGCATGATGAGGTTGCGCGCCACGAGGGAGTCCATAATCTGGTTGAGGCAAGCCTCTGTCATCTGCTGGATGATCAAGTCCCGTCTTTGCATGACCCACGCGCACACCTCCGGTAAAGGCACTGCAAAGAGGCGAGATACGTAAAAATATGTAACACATGCAGGGGGTTTCCAATTCACTTGATGAAAATGAGTGTGTTTAAGTTAAAGGGCATTTGGAAGACAGGATGGATATACATGTGTAACATTTGCCAAAGATGTTTGCTACTTGTGGGCAGAGAGCGAAAACCCAGTCACAACTTTGGCCACAATCGCCATCAGCTTTTTAACATCATCATCTCAGGCATAGAGCAACCAATCTAAACAAAAAGCGATTCTTTTCTTTCTAGGGTTTTGTTTCCAGGAGCACGGTTCGCTTGGAGCGCGCACTCAGGCTGGCACTCACCCATGTCTTGAACCGACATCGAGTAGCATCCACTGATCTGCTGCTGCTGTGCCTCCTCACTGATGGGCACGGGCAGGGACTCCGTCTCGCCACTTAGGCCCCGTGCCATGCGAGCCGTCTGGTACGGCATCACACTCGCGCCTGCGCCTGAGCCCGCGTTCGTGCCCTGCCACGCGTTGCTCCCAGGCCCCGCGGTGCTCGCGTTGTTGCTGATCTTCTCCGCCGCCGCCTCCTCCTTTGCCTTGTTCATGTCGGCCATGCCTGTGGGAAGAGACGGTAAACGGCCCCTGTTCACAAGCAGCTCGCAATTTGTACGTACCATTTTCGGGGAGAAAATGTGCAGCCCTGCAATTGCTTGCTCATTTCATGCTGATGGAAGGGCTTCCACTACAGGGCTCGAGGGATCCCCCGAAAGAGGTGGCAGTGGTGGGAGTACACACACTTTGCCCTACCACTTGCTGATCATCTAATTGTGATGTAACCCATTTATACTGGTTGGGATTCAAGAAACTTGCTCCATTATTCACACTTTCCTTGCCGGAATTAAAATGGTTCTTCATTCGTGTTCCTAGAATGTATTAACAATGTCCAATTTTTTACATTTTTTTCCAATGTGTCATAATGCTCTTTATGAAGATACTCTGTGCGCGTAGGCAAAATCCATCATAACGGAATTACAGCATGGAGCTCAAAACAGGATAAAAAAATGTACTTGCACATTATTTGGATCTTGGGTGGTTTAAGAGTATAAATGTTCTTATACAGAAGCTTTACGTAATACGTATATTCTAATTTTATTTTCACGTCTAAATGCCAACCAGAGTGCATTGGTCTTGTAATTTTGTTTCTGTGAAATCGACCACATATGAATAAAATATGTATTCGGTACATATAATGTTAACCCCTTACACATTTACTTGAACAATACTTCTCTGTGAGGCATTTTTCACGAACTTAATCTGAATAAGTATATCTTGTCGCATGGAAGAGTAGTCCAAATATCCAGAAGTGCTCCCAAGTGCTCCTTCTAGCAGAGGCCCTTTGGCTAGCAAGCAATTGAAGGGTGGCATCGTTACGCTTTATTATCTTTTGACATTATAATGAATGATCATATTGTCATTCGCGAAGGCAGGCTGGTATGCGTGCGTGACAAACTTATGTTGGCCGTGAGTGGACGTGGCATCGGGCAACTTTGTATACGCAGATCCGTACTGCATCCATGTCCACTGCCCGCCTCCTTGCAGTCTTCCAGTATCCCAGGGGCAGACTTTGGGTCTTGCAGGGCACACGGCCTGGGAGTTGGAGACCTCAACTCGGTCACTGGGCTGCACCCTGGAGTGGACTGAGGCACGGCTCCGATACCGACCCTTGGTACTGACATCACCCCTGCCACTGATCTGCACCCAATGTTCTCGTGCCCATCCAGAGAAGGAGGGATGCTGGGACAGCAATGAGACGAGCTGAGAAGGTTGAACTTTGACTTCATCTGGAGATAGACATCAAATATATAAAGGGAAAAACACAAATTACTTACTTCACATTCTATATATATATGTTTGTTGTTACACCGAATGTAAAATGTCCATGCAATGTTGAAACCAGCAGGAGTAGGAATGGTAGGACGTACCACACGCCAGTGCAGCGGTCCTGCTGCACATATGACGATTGGGGCTGGCTTCCATGGGTATTGTTGGGCTGTGTAGCTTGTGTCATCTGAATAACATGAAAGAACAAAGAACATTTTTTAATAAATGAGGTGCTTCATTAGAAATTAGATGAGAGACTGTCTTAGAGGTTGGAGAGCCAAGTGAGGAGAAGATTGGCAGTACAGCAATGGATTATTATGTTTTGAATGCAGCTAAAAGTGTTATCGCCTTGCTTGCATGGATTTGGGTATTCTGGATTGCTCCAACATGCAAAACACTAATCAATAGCACTGGCCAAACATCTCAATGCAGGATCCCTGAGGACTCAGGTTTTACTGGATAAATAAAAGGCATTATTACTATGATGATTTCTTCACTTTTGTCATTGCACCACCAGATGCTGAAGTGGTGTCGTTAGTAGCACATTGGCCTTGCAATGTAGAGATCACTGGCTTGATCTCCTTGCACGGCAGTTGAAACAATGTGGTAAATTTCTTAAATGTCCAAGCAGCAATGTAAATAGGTACACCGCTGTTAGTTAATTGGTTGGTCACTTGTGGTGGGGTCACACGTGTGGGTACTTCTACCTCTACCAGGACATCTCGCCAGCATGGAAGAGTTGGCCAATTACCCATTTTCGAGCTCGTTCTAACGGACTGCCCTTCCAGCACCAGTACCATGAGCAAGTAATTGCAGGGTTGCGCCTTAAGCTTTACATTCCCCTGTTCTTACACTTCCCAACAGGGGCCACAAATACAAACTACGGCGGTCGCAGGGCAGGCAGGTGGTGATGTAGCACTGTACCGTGAACGGGTTGGATGACAGGTCCAGGTTATCAACCGCTGAAACCAGACTTTTTCCATCGCGAGGGGATAACAGAAAACTCCGCTCTGCGTTCTCCTGACAACGGCAACGCGAATAAGATCATAAAACCAACTGTTGCGTCTCCAGTGTAGCGACACAAGCACGCATTAACTCTTGTAAGGCCACCGAGCCTTTAACAAAATAACAAAATAAGGCACGTATACTCGTGCAGCATAGTGGCCATATTCTCCATAAGGTCACGTGCTATGAAGAGGGGCCATTGCCTGAAGGGTCACTGATTATACACTGTTCCTTTTCAGGCAGTCTTATCAACGAACGTGTTGAGTTTTTATTTATGTTCATTGTGTTTGTACACCACTGCCAATGCATTATAATATATATTTTTAATTAGGGATTCATTGTTTGGGGCTACCTCTAGCAGGAGCCCTTAAATAAGCATTCCAGGTCATGTGACCATCATACATATAAATGTCAAGAACTTAATTATGTATTTCGATTTAAAGCTTTCGTGACTGCAGGGATTCATCTTCTTGGTTCTTTCGGTAAAGTCACGTAGAATGGAAATAATAAAATAATAAAAATAAAACATAATTAAATCATTCTCACGACTTTCGGCCACAACGCAAGCAGCCGTCCTCAGGTGGAGAACAGGTCTGTCGAGAAGAAAGAGTCTGTCTTCTCGACAGACCTGTTCTCCACCTGAGGACGGCTGCTTGCGTTGTGGCCGAAAGTCGTGAGAATTATTAAATTGTTTTATTTTTATTATTTTATTATTTCCAGTCTACGTGACTTTACCGAAAGAACCAAGAAGATTAATTATGTATTCCAAACATTGCTACCCTAATACGCCGCACCAGTCAAATGCACATTACATCACTGAAATTGCGCACGGAATCTTTGGAAACCTGTAACATCTGAATTTCTTTCTATTTTGGGGAAAAAATAAACCAACCTTTTGCTCCACGAGCTGCACAATGGCCATGGCGAAGTCACGTGGTTGATAGCCTCTAAGGATCTTCTCTATCTCTGTGCTGCATTCTAGGCCACAAAAAATCAATCACGCAATTAAACCATGAGCATACGGATGGACGACAAATAATATTCTTGTGCTGCAATGTTATCTGTGTGGTACAAAATGGTACAAGTGAGGGCTGATAATTATTAATGTGTGAATACAATTCCTGAGAAAATCAGACCCTTCCAATTAAATTAATTTGTCATGATTCGGCGTCGTGAATCACTTCAGGAATGGATTACTTTATTAATGTTGCATGCACATGTAGCGCCTCTATTGGCACATATAACTTGTAAATGTACAGCTTTTTGTCAATCCACCTCTGGATGAAGACCTCCTCAAGCCATGTCGGTCATGTGAGTTATTTGACCACACTTCCTCACACTGGTCAGTGTTGGTTGGTGAAGGTGAAGTTGGGGTAGGGGGTCAGGGGTTAGCCTGGACCAGTTCAGAAATCACCGCTCATGATAGCCCTGGCCAGGAATCAAACTCATTTGGCCGGAATCTTAGTACAGTGCATGCCACTGCGACATTTACAAGAAAATGTATAGTGTAGTTAAGTGCATTTGCGTTTTTTTTTATATAAAGCCAATCGATGCATGAAAAAACAGTAATCGATTCTGGCACACGTTATTTAACACGTGGATTGTGAGATAGAAATAGTGTATTGTGATGGGATTAATCGGAGTGTCGTTACGATATTAGGAAGCCACGAGAGCAAAACCACTTTTAAATCTTGATTTAAAACTCATTTCTTGAGAACTGCTTTTTGTGTTTAGTTGTACTTCCCCCATGCCTCGAACTAGCACGGTTGGCGATATAAGTTCAACATACATACCTACATGCCCAATGAACACCCGGTTCCCTTCCATTGATCATTAAATATATTTGCGCTCTAAGACATTCGGTACGCTATGGGACATGTTTTGAACCATTAAGTTGCTCTTCTTGGTTCTTTCGGTAAAGTCACGTAGAAGGGAAATAATAAAATAATAAAAATAAAACATAATAAAATAATTCTCACGACGTTTCGGCCACAACGCAAGCAGCCGTCCTCAGGTGAAGAACAGGTCTGTCGATAAGACAGCGTCTAATAGACGCTCCAAGCCTAGGACGTGTCATTCAGACTCTGTCTTATCGACAGACCTGTTCTTCACCTGAGGACGGCTGCTTGCGTTGTGGCCGAAACATCGTGAGAATTATTTTATTATGTTTTATTTTTATTATTTCCATTCTACGTGACTTTACCGAAATAACCAAGGAGATGAATCCCTGCAGTCACGAAAGCTTTAAATCGAAACATTAAGTTGCTGTTATAAGTGAGCGTGCGACGGGACAGGCCGCTTTGCGGGCACTGTCATGGGCGCCCGCACCGTGGAAGGAGGGCCTCTGCTCGGGGTCCTGCGCCCAGCACCTCTGCATGAGCGCGAGCAGCGGGGCGCGGTGCGGCGTGGACAGGGGCAGTGCGCTCTCGGCCGTGGAAGGGCGGTCGCCCCGGAAGACGCTGAATATCACCTGCGTCGAGTCCACGGCGTCTGGGGGAACAGAATGGCGGGGTTGAGCGCGAAGACGACGGTGCAGCCTTTACTTCGTCTTATAATTCTCCGGATTATGAGACGTAGTTTTTTTTCTTCCCTCCACCCCTCGTATTTTAAAGCAAAATTTGGGTGTGCGTCTTGCAGTCCGGAGAACAAATGTCCCCCAATATTAAAGCGGCACATTCATAATCATCTTCTCGAATACGGCTCTACATATTACCAGATTCGCCCCATTATAAAACACACTATCCCCTACAGCAAACTTAGATTCAAAATGACCCCACAGTTTGAATTTGCATATTACTTTCTAGAGCTCCCTATAATCCAGAGAATATGATAACAGGCTGTTGGGGCAAGTTCTGCTCGTGAGCAACTACTAAGACGGGTGTATGACTCACGAGTGGGCTGTGTGGCCAGCACCATGCCTTGCGGCCTTTGTCTCCAACGCTGATGTTTACACACTGCACCAGGTCCCCACTGAAAGTTAAGTCAGCCTTGGGCATATCCAAAAACGAGTTCACTTATCATTCGCCACTGTGACTGAAATTTAAACTCAAGTCACTGTGTTCCCAGCGCACTAAATTCATCACTGTGTCACCACTCCACCCCACAATAAAGTGTATACTTCAGTAAACTGCATTACAGTAGTGCCTTTCTGATTACATTTTTACAATTTGTTTTGAATAATGATTTCGTATGGCCAATGAAGAGCAACTAATGGAAATTCAGTTCTAAGTGATTTAGCCATCCAATTGCTTCGTCTGAGGGTTGGTAAATTGTCGTTGCACCGCTTTCTAATTTATATTCGGGACAATGTGGAAGTAGTTTTGTGGTCCATAGTTTGGTGTTCGTAGCTGCAGCCGCACAAAGTAGGGTCTATTATTCTCCGTCTGTGCATTAGGTAACTATTTAAAAACGGTAACACAAACAATTAGGAAGGTGCCAGTGTGCTTCTCGATGCAGTGAGTTGTGAAGCCACGTTGCAATAGTAAATGTTTTCCTGTATGTGGTAGCATTGCTCTGCTGTGCAGACAGCAGCAGAGTTGAGCTCAAATCCGTGTGTATTTGATGGAGTCCACCGAGCGCTGTTCACCTTGACCGCAGGTGTTGTCACTATCCATGTGTAGTATTCTTGAATGAGACCGACACTTCGTAGAGGCCACACGCTTTTATTCCGATAACACTAGTCCTCAGGACTCACTGGGGAAACAGTCCCACACACACAACCTAGGGAGGTACAGCCTCCAGCTCTATTCTCATTTCTCTCCTTCCCTAGCCTCCAGCTACTCTGTTACTCTCTTCCCTAGCCTACAGCTACTTAGCTACTCTCTTCCCTAGCCTACAGCTACTCAGCTACTCTCTTCCCTAGCCTACAGCTACTCAGCCCACTCAGTTCCAGTGGGGCGGCATCCTTGAGGCTTGGGGGTCCAGGATCTCCGGCTCTCCTCCTTCAGCTTCTCCTCCGATCGACCCCTCCGCTCTCCGGGAGCCGTCTTATATATCCCCTCTCTCTGAGGGGCGGGGGTGTCTTGGGCCCTGGCTCTCGCCAGCCCCCTCCCCTCAGAGCCGTTCCAACCACCTCTCGTCCCTGTCAATCCGGGCCGGTCCAGACCGGTATGTACCTCTCCCCTAGCTTGTGTGACCTGTGTGACCTGTGTCAACCTTGGTGTCAACCTTGACCACCACCCATGTGCCACTGCAGTGAAAACGGTCACTGTGCGCGGTGATGCATGCGCCCCCTTGTTGCACGGGTTGTAAACCTTCGCTGCAACATTTTGTTCCCCATTGCGCTCAATCACTCTTATAAGCCAGGTGTGCTTATAAGCACGGGGTAGAAATTGTTCTTATGCAGGAGATTGTGTTCTTATAGCTCGAGGTGGTGTTCGTGTGGGTACAGTTGGAGGGGGGTGGGGGGTGATGTGCCGAAAATAGCAAAGCTAGCTTGGCGATAGTATAGTGGTTAACGTATGGTGCTGCGAACCCGGTGACTTGAGCTTAATGCACGCTCGCAGCCAACATCAGTGACAGATGCATCAACCGTTTCTGGGACTCGCCTAGGTCGACTTAAAATTAGTACCTGATGTGGTGTGTAGCCAATCGGAGTGGTGCGACACAGGCCGCACCACTCCGTCTCGGGCCATGCAGGCCTTTATAGGGCTCGCTATCAGCACTTGGCCCTAACAACCTGAAATGGCTATATGGGGATATTTGTCTTTGTCTATAGTTAGCAGGGGTGTAACATGGTACGTGCATTAAATGTGTTGTAGTAATTGTAATTATTGCATTCACGTGATCCATGCAGCCAATTGAAGTCCTACTGTGCATCACAATGGCGCTAATGGTTTTCTCGTAACTCAAGAATTGGGAGGGGGCGAATAGTTTTGGGCCTAAGAGCCATTTTTCTATCCAATCCTGCATGAAAATGTCCATAATGGCCTTGGAAAGCCACAGTCAATTTCACTCCATCACTTTATCCCCACAGTAGTCATCCTCTTGAGCATGCCTCCCTCCTTTGCCTGCCATTCCATATCCGTCCAACCGCGTGCCCTGCCTATGTTCGCCTCGTTTCCTGAACAGTCAGAGTGATCGCTGAAGTTTGTATTCTTTTTTCCCTGTTCTGTATTAATGCAGTTATGTACGTATCTAAGTATGTATGTATGAGCATTCTAGTCATGTGAGTATTTAGCAAGAGATTTACAGCAATTTATAAGTTGAAGCTGACCTGCGCTGAGGGTGAAACCAAACTGGGCAATATTCATTTTTTTCTTCTATTCATAAGCAGACTCGACTATAATTATGCCAAATTTCACCTTTTTATCCCTTCTATAACTCATGAGAATTTACATCAGTCACTCAGTCACTATGATCTGTGGGTTATTTGTAATGTAGCTGTTGTGAATATGATATAATGCACATGCGTTCGGAAATAACAAATCTCTCCATTAACTCTGAAGTCATGTGACTCGTTTTATTGTATTATCGTTGATGTGTCCGAAAAACAATTTGCAAATTATGTGATAACAGCAGGAAAAAATTGCATAATCACTAGACAAAATTAATCCCATAAACTACCATCTTGAAATCAAGTAAATGCTGCACATTGGGATATGTGAAGTGATGTGTACAGTTGATTGTAGATACAGTCTGACTCAATGCATAAATATGTAATACCCACAAGGACTGAAATGTATTTGCCATTCCGGGGTTTGGGTCATGTCAAGGGATTCTTAATGACGAGCCTTACCTAACACAATGTTTGCTTAACCACGCCGCCTACAAAGTAACCCTAAGAACCTCATTACAATAAGACACACATCTATTTGCCCCCACTGCCATTCGTATGTATGTGTGTTGAACGTAATCGGAGGTGCGGCAATGCATTTCCACAACTTTAGGACCACAATCTTGACTGAAGAATTATCTCTTTTAAATACTGTGGTGAACGTAGTAGCGTCTAATGGCTGGAGGGTCATGTGAGCTAATTACGTGCAGCATGTTGACAAAATGCGATGCTGTTTATGACCGTACATCGCCACGCTGGTCTGTGGGAGTTGGGGAAGATAGATTTTAAAAAAGGTGTGTCAAGAAGCATGGAGAGAAGCATGCTGGGAGCAGGGACACAAGGATCGCACAACGAAAGAAAATACGAGAGATCACAGGTCTGGTTCTTCATAAAAGTAAGTGGGCTTCGGAAGGACACATCGCTAGAAGGGATGACAGCAGACAGACGATACTGGTAATGGGATGGCAGCCAAGGGAGACAATATGCCCGAGAGGTTGACCACTGTACAGCTGCAACGATGAGACGGGCTCATGTGCAGGAGCGAGGTGGATGTGTGGCTTTGCAGCACTGCGAAAGATGTCAATGATGTGAGGACTTTATCCAACGATGGATAGAAAATGGCTGTTAGGAGTAAAAAAAATATATCGATTCTGACATTTGCAATTCAAGTAATGCATCATCATCTGAGGAATGAACATTAATCAATTATTACAACCCCAGACAGTACAAAATATATTTTGAATATGTTTATCTAGTCGTAACAAACATCTAGGCCAATGATGTATGTTAGCAGAGGTCGCAAACGGGTTTTGATTCCTTACCCGTACCCATACCCGGCCGCACCAGGGTCGCAAACGGGTACCCGTACCCTGCCGTACCCGTACCCTACCCGTACCGGGCCGGGTATCGGGTTGGGTACGGGTACCCGATTGCGACCTCTGGGATGAAGCCATGTTGCAGGCGTGGGTGGGTTGATTCTAGGAACTTGAATTGTGAGAAGAGACAAGACGTTGGGAAATGAGTGACAAACAGTGACTCACCAGTGACTCACGGCCTACCCGTACCCGTACCCGGCAGGGTATGGGTAGCCGGGTATCGGGTAGGGTACGGGTATCGTGTACCCGGTTGCGACCTCTGATGTTAGTGTCATTGATTGCTCCGGGGTGCATCGGTTCACAGTGCAGTCATCAGCTCACCACGCTATGAAACCGGCGACGTGAGATCAAATTCCCAGACAGGATAAACATCAGTGAGAGTGAACTGTGCATTGGCCCTGGGGCTCTGACTTCATCAAACCCGAACCGATCAGTGTGTGGAAAAAAAACACAACCTCCATGACCGACATGATGTGTGTGTGTGTGGGGAGGAGCCTTTATCCAACTGGATTAATACCGGGCATTAGACTCATGATTATTCCAATTGTTACATACTATACATGCAACGTTTGCCATTGCATCAGCTCTGTTAGCCCTTGAGCAAGCCCAAGCCTTTCGTTGTCACAGTAACTTGCGTTGTCTTAAAAAACGAGTCCGCGTATGACCGGAATTAGCAAAAGCCAACGATGCTTGTGCAAACGCAGAGGTTTTTTGCGCTTGTACGTATCTATGTTGTACTATCTATGTTGTATGTAGCTATGTTGTATGTATCTATGTTGAACTTCTAATCGGAGGATGTGATGTAGAGTTTGCTCTCTGATGCGATTTCGGGGTTGTACCTCGTGTTTTTAATTTTTTTCACCATCAAGTCTGATGCTTTTGTCGACGTTTGTATGCCTGTTGAACTTCTTCTCTCGCATCGCACGTAGCCAACCGTGCTCATCGGAGGTGCGCGGACGTTTCATCGGACATCACGTCGAACAACACCGAGGAACAACCTGAAAACGTACCCAAGAGCTAAATGACGCTTGAGGTTTGAATGCACCTTCTCTTTAGAAGCTGAGTAAAAAGACTAAATAAACATTGGCTGTGATTTCCCTGCCTCTGAGGTCCTGTCTCTCGTCGATGGTGAGCGAATACTGAGCGGGCGCTTTAACAAGTTGAACATTCATTGTCACGCATCCAGTTTTGAACACGGTTCCAACCATCCGACACACACGAACCAGTGTGACTATTGAAATGTAAACTTTCACTGCCCGGTTCAGAAAAACCGTTGACATCGACCATCTGCGTAACACTGCCCAACCCACACATCTGCAAAACCGACAGATCCCACTTGGCGTTGCGCAGCGGAATATTAGTTTGCTGTAGGGGATATGAAATACGAAAGCGGCGGCCTGTTATGGTTGGAAAAATTCCGCCTTTTCTCTGATGCGGCCCCTTCTTGCTTGTTTGCTGCAATAACAAGGGCAGCATTTTTTAAAAGTCTGCGTCTGGAAAAGTCATCGTCGACAGCCCCCCACACCCCCCCGGGAAAGTGGGGCCATGTGAACAATCATGGACTCCACACGAGCAGAGTAAAGCTGCACTATGGACACCCGGCGAACGCAAGCTGCGAAAGCAGGTTCCTTCTGGATTACATTTCAAGCGATCGTGACCTCTTCATGGTTGTTACGAAATCAGTTATGAAATATAGATCTGACAAGTGCAATGGTGGGGGTTTGCATATGCCACTCGCCGAATACAGACATTCGACTTGTTCAGGGTCTCGCGTAATGTGGGTTTACGTACAATTGCATTAAGAAGTAGACATGGGGATGGCCCTGAACAGGCATGAGTGGTGAACGAGGACCAGGAAGGCAGACCACACACACATGGGTGGAAATAATAACAGGAAGAAGATAAAGATGCACTATTACACTGAGAAGCAAGACAAAGTTACTGAGGAGTAAAGAAAACAGGAGGCATTGCTTTTCTTTATGGTACACTTTGTAGGTTCATTGTACTATGCCCAAATCTGGCTATTCCTACACACAAGTGGACTTCTCTTTTGTGTTACAAACGTTGTCAATTTGCCAGCCGAGATGTGGGTCAGGTGTTTTAAAGAGGAACATAGAGCTGTAGGGTAATTTGTGTAAAAAAAAACAACAACCCCACTCTCACTCACCCTCAAAAGAGCGCTGGCGTGTCAGCACCTCCCAAGACAAGATGGCGTAACTGGAACAGAAACCACGATCAAAGGAGAGGGTCAAACAAAAGTTCAGGCCGCAGCACGCGAGCATTCGATAAACACGGCGATAAACACCCCGGTTCCGACTGCTGTGGACATATCGGTCAAACAGCCACTGCCAATGCAAATTATGCGCGTACATTATTACTGAACAAAAATAAATATACATTATTAGACGCCAAACAATTTGTCTTCCCTTTCTTGCGGTGCAATGAACCGCGTGGCAAACTTAGTTTGGCTGTGGGGTTACCACGCGACCAGAGCGAAACCGTTATGCACAACATGTACAAATCGAAAGACATCAATCCTTACGCACGCGATTCAATGCAAGCATGGCGAGCGTAGAAATTGATATAAATGAATCGATGCGTTGTCCCCCCCCATCCCTAACACGAGGTGCGAGCGTTACCACTGTGCACCAAACACCCCCATCACCCAGGCCGGTACATGTCAGCGCGAGTTGTTGTCCCGGGCAAGGCGCACCGACCTGTAGACGTCGTACTTGATGGAGGGGCGGTAGTGCATCTCGAATGCCTCGGGCGGCATGTAGAACACAGTGCCCGTGCCCGCCTGGGAGTGCACGGAGGAGCACGCGAGGGACAGCTGCCGCCACTTGGCCAGTCCGAAATCTCCCAACTGCAGCCCGAGACAAAGATCCCCCGTGTAGCCTTAACAGACTGTTGAGGCAAGTGCTGTTAGCGAGTCGCACCTATGAAGGCTGGCACGGTAGACGAGTGGGTGGGTGGCCCGCACCACGCCCGACCACCTTTGTCTCCCCCCGTAGCGATGTTTACACACCACACCAGATACTCATTTAAGGTTGAGTCGACCTAGGGGAGGGTACCAGCACTGGATCAAATATTCATCACTGGTGTCGGCCGTGAGCGAGACACGAACCCAGGCCGTCGGGTTCGTAGCGCAGCGCGCCAACAGCTCCCCTACCACTCACCACGCAGCCACACACGCGACATACACTCCTCCAGGTGGCACTCTCTATATCGTGAACCGTCACTGGTTTCAGTGATGAAATTATGATGTTAAAAATGCTGTAACGGTGAGTAAATAAGTGTACATTCGCATACGGTGGCAACAGAATTGGAGCATCACTTTAACTGGCTGAAAATGAGGTGATATTTATTTTGGAGTTTCGTATTTGCAAGTTACTATCTGTTAATATAACAAGGCCAAATGCCCTCCAGATTTAACACAGTGACACCAGGTGAAGGGTTGCTCCCGCGCTGCTGTAATGGTGACAATATTGGATCTGCAATCCAGAGGTTGCCGATTCCACCTTTGATCTCCCAGCATGACCGCTGAACCGTAGTCCTCCAAGAGGAACATGGACGCACGGGCGGCGCCTGTGTTTGCGCAGCTTCGGGTCCCGGGCATGTTTTACTAACCCGCTGCCACACAAATTGGCCCCTCTAATAAATACAATGATTAACTCAATTACGACCCCAAGAGCCGTTCTTTTTTTTCTCTTCCCTCCATGGCTCTGTGAACGTCTCGACTGTTGAATGCCACCGGGGGAGAGCGCGAATGGAATCAGACAACGGGTTGCCCCGCATGTAATTTCACCCAAAAAAAAAATCCCCCAATATGACTGCGCCTTTGTGATGAAAGCCAAGCCTGGCGAGTGCTGTTCTACCGAGCGGACACACCCATAGCAGTGCGCACCACCCTCACCCCTCCCCCTCCGGTGCCCGACTGCCTCTCCAACGCCCACACGCATGTGCAGTGGTTTCCTGTGCAAATGCCTTACACTTGTGCAAACTTTGAAGGTTCCACCGAATTCCACCGTCGTGGCACCTTGCCCTCAACCGAGGGGATTCCTGAAAGTAAGCTTGTCTGAGTCTGTCGGAGCCAGATTTTTCCAGCCAGCCAGGACACTGGTGGACCGAGCTGCATCAAATGATGTGGGTATGAATACAGAGTTTTTTTTTCTGTTTGTATCAAAGGTAAAAAATGTAAAAGGTGCAACAGAAAAAAAATACTTGGCCATGCCAATGCTGGAAAAAGGGCCTCCGGGAGAGACAGCTCTCGATTTCCTCTTGGGAGGGCATTGGGCCAACTATGATTTTGCCTTGAACATTAAAAACGTCCTTTTCATGGAAATCAATTACGCGCCCATTGTGCAGCATTAAATAAATAAACTGCCCCCCAATCGTCAAATCCAGATTTAAAAAATGTATTTTATTTTTAGTCCATGAGCTCCTGAGCTTTCTGGACCAATATTATCCAGCAACTTTTGTTTAAGCAAATAAACCCTGGACTGGTTTCAACATTTTGGGTCTCATCATATAAAACCACTGTGAGACACTGATACATTTCTGGTCTCTACTGAGGAGACTCAGATGGTCAAAGTAGGTTCAGAGTTTATACTCTTTGGTTGATTCGGTAAAGTCATGTAGGTTAAAAAAGAAAACAAATAAATTAATTAAATCACAACGTTTTCGGAGGCAACACAAGCTTCCGTCTTCAGTTGGAACCGTCACAGAAAAATGACTGTATCAAGTGAAGAGAGTTCTAACAGACGCGACCTTAAATAGGTCAGGAGTTTTCTTGCTGAAGCACCTACTGCTGTATAATGCTGGTATATGGCAAGCACCGAGGCTGAAAGATGAAAATAATACTTTATTTGTACGTGGAGAAATGAATGTGTCGTGAATAATCTATAATACTCCACAGCAGTACATAATGGTTATTTACAATATTGTTTCGCTGATCAGGGCCCAGTTGGTGAGATGGAGTACTCTTGCAAATAATATCTGGCAACCCAGCAGGATTTGTTCAGTTCCGTCTCTGATGATCAGAAAAAAAGATAAAAATAATTAAACAGTTTGCTGGATTAAACAAATGGTGCTTGATCATATTGGACTGTAAAGCCCACAGGCTCGTAAACTAAAACACATTTGACTTTTACGTGGACTGACAAATGAAAGGGTTTCTACATTTGAAAACTTAATTTTAAATTTTCCAACGAGAAAATTCTACTGATTGTGATCAGTGACCTGAATGCTGTGCTGGCAAAAAAAAATCACAATTAACTGATGAGTCTAGAATGAAGTAAAATAATAATTAAAATACATTTGAGATGTAAATCCAAGTCTCTCCAGACTACAGATAACCTGTATTGCTCCGTTGTGTGCTCTACTAACAATGGGCCTCGACACCGATACTCGGCAAGTAACCCTTTGCTCCACATGGTGCTACCTCTGTGGTGATCCCTTCAAGTGAGCTATGCTCCATAAGGTGGAGGCAAGGACTTTCTCACCCGCTCTGCGTTTGGTAGTTATGTGTGTTGCATTACAATTACTGACATTTCATTCTCAGAGAGCTGGAATTTATCCAAATTAAGTGCAGAACCAAGTTATTATTATTATTATTATTTTTGTGTGCAGTCAATGACGACCAAGCTGAAACCATAAACGCACGACACTGGAGAACCCAGATTAATCACAGGCAGCTGCCTGGTATTGAAACCAGGATATCTCAGCGGCGCCGGTTCATCACTTGGACCTCTCAGCCACCCAGCCACCTCCCGACTTTTTCATAGTTTTAATTAAATTCACAATTACTAATCTACAACTCGCAGCGTAACAACTGCCTGATTACTAATCTAGTATATAATTACAATAACCCCCCCCCTCAAATCGTTGCACCTGATGAGTTAATGAGTTAATGATGACGTCACCCTCCTGCTGCTCTATATAAGAACGGGAGACAGAGCAGAGCCTCACCATTCTGGCGAATTGCCTGATGATGCTGGATGCAATTACCAGCGAAACGTCGTACTACTCAAAAATTGTAAATGTTGTGGTTTCACGCTTCAACACACCGGTGGGCTAAAGCAGTGAACTATTTGTCTTTTGTCAACGTGACACTTTTTTTACTGATTGGCCGTGTCGGGGTGGTGGAGGGTTACGACACATTTATAAATAACGCGATCTAAACCCAAAAAACGTTGATTATGAATTTTTATTAAGAGTCCATGAGCACTGAGCGTTTGCTCACCAACACAGTGGGGCAGGTGCCCCCCGGGTGGTCGAACCGCACGGGGGCAGGTGGGCGGGCTCACTCACCTTGACGTGGAACTCCTCGTCGAGAAGCACGTTGCTCGCCTTGAGGTCGCGGTGCAGCAGCGGTGGCTCGAGGCTGTGCAGGAAGTTGACGCCGAGCGCCACCTCGTGCAGCACGCGCAAGCGCAGTGGCCACGGCAGCTCTGGGTACACGGCTTTCTGTGCGTGCGCAGCGGGGAAAGGTAAAATTGTCAATTTTGTCTCGAACCACTTTTCTACTTTGCACAGCCGAGCCACGTCGGGGGGGGGGGGGGGGGGGGGCGCTTCTCGTTGAGGACAGCCTGGCGTCGCTCGGGAAGAGCCGTGGTCGTTTCTCCAACATGAAAGTTCGAGCCGTACGTCACGCGCAACGAACAAGCAAAGACGTGCGCAGGCGACGCTGTGTTTGAGTTGTGTGCCAGCTGACGTCACATGCAATGAAGCGTTACTAGGCCCACTTCTGTCCCTGCTTTGGCCCGAGCTAGATTCGTATGTCTAGTGAGGCCAGATCATCACGGTTTGGTTCCGGTTCAGGGTGACAAATAGCCAAAAGAACAACACGCATTCGGTGAGGGGCGCGCGCTGGCGCGTGGCTTGGATGTGCCAGTAAGAAAGGGGCACTACAGATTTTACGGGAAATAATTGTCTGCGAGCACCTATTAAGGCAAGAACCACTTATGAGGAGATGGAATAGGGAGCACCAAGCTCAGCACCTTTGCCTCTATTATACAAATATTCACACGCCACACTAGAGATGCAGCGTTAGGCATGTGATATATTTTTTTTAATTCCTTAAATTTAACTTTATCCAATTAGCTGCACTAGAAAGTGCTGATCGTTATACGTGGTTAATTTTGTACTTCTGTCAACAGAACATATACTCAATCTGACAAGTCAGGGTACACACTGATGAAAGAATAACGATTGGTCACATAAAAAGAAACCGTTCAATATTTTCACTATTGGATTGCATACATAGTTCAACTGCATTATGTTCTTAATGATTAAATGGCACTGGGCACTACACGTGAACAAATGGTATGCACTAGAAATCTGGATCGCAGTCTATTTGTTCTGAAATCCTAAAAGTGCTGGTCATAACCTTCCAAATGAAGAATGAAGAGTTGCAGGGATTAACCCCTTGAAGGCAAGCACTGTGAACAGATATTTGTTTAAAATTCAGGGGCTCACAGCACAAAAGGCAAAATCTGCACAAGCCAAATAAAATAATTCCTACTTTTTTGGGACGCATGTGGCCAGCCTGCCCCCAATAAATAAACTCAACCCGGCAGAAGGAAAACCCACGGGCGCTGCGTGATCAATCACTACCGCTGGTAAAGCCGTTGTTGGGGACATTGGTCTTCCAGGTGGGAGGTTTCAGCCACAATCGGACTTCCAAGTGACAGCGGGATCTGGTAACGTCGATGTACGGTGGGAAATTACATTTTGGCCGTCACCTGCACGTCTGGTTTGCAGGCTTGTGAATGGGCTAAAGATTTGAGCGCTAACCATTAAGCCCCCAATGCAGATCACTTTGTTTGTCGAGAAGAACGCCCCGTAATTGATGCTAGTTCGTTGAATGCCACCTCATGTCCCCCCTCACCCAGCAATTCGATGAAATGCCACAATTCAGGGTCCCGATTCAATATAAGAATATATATTTTTAACGTTATGGTGAATATTGTGACCTCAAGCTTTCAAATGCGTCACATACAACCCAAATAAAGAACATTCTTGCACACACTCAATTCAATGCACCTATTGTGATATAAACATTAATTATATGAAACGATTCATTGTGACACCCTTAGGATTCACGAATGAGAGCAGGGAGAATGAGAATAAACCGCGATGAACGGGTCATAAGTGTCAAACATGAGGTTGTCGCAACGCACCAGGCATACGTGTGGAGTATAACAGAGAACGGTGACGAATGGAACCCAGGTGACACAAGTCCCCATGCTTCCACAAATGTTTGGGTCCAAATTGGCTTGTAAGTATCAGCCATGGGATTTGTGGCTTGGTCCCCTTTGGCAGGAAGCAAATCAGGAAAACTATCGTCAAGAAATGGTGAGCTGCAGCGCAGGCTTTGCAAGCGCATCTTGCCCGGCCACAGCAATACTCCCCGCGGGACAGCGAGACACAGAAACACGATCTGCATGCCAGCTGTCTGAGGCTGGCTGGCGGCGTCTCTGGGCCAAGCAAAAAAGAGACGGAAGTGGTAATAACAGCAGCAGTTAGAAAGCTCCTTTGGCAGGGACAAAACAAAAAAACTTTAGCAGCTGGGAGCCTGGCCTGCTGTTACGCTTGTGATCCTGGTCAGGTCATGTGGACTCCAGCACTCTCTAAGCACAACCAGGCCAGGAAAAATCGATTTTTCCTGCTTTTGCCACATGGCGATGGTAGTGGCATGGGGCCAGGTCATCAGGACAATTTCCCGATTTCTGGATTAACTTGAAACGCATGTTTTGATGATCCATATGTACGTGTTTCGGATTGATCTGAAAATGTTACGTTTGGGGAAGTAATGCCATTTGTAATATGACGGCCATGTATTTCCCGCAAAAACGTCCATTATGTGATGCTACTTTTACTTAAACTATTTTAATAAAGCATAGTTAAAAAATTTCAATTTCTATTTAGTTTTGCTTATTTCAATTAAGCTATTAACATTAAAAAGTATTCAACTAATTAAACATAACTCTTACAAATATAAGTATTAAATATAAAAAAAAATTCAAAAAATCTAATATTCAAACTAATAAAATCTAAAACCATTAAATACCTGGTGAAGTAGGGTGTCAAGTGAGCCGTTGGGCATGTACTCCATCACTATGCCCATGAACGTGGGCTCATTGCAGATGCCCAACACGGGCAGGGTGAACTGAAATCGCGCGCGGACCATCTTCTCGGCCTCTGCTAGAAGGCTCTCTCGGTCCCTGGGAAAGGCAGACAACAAGCACACGAATGTGTGTGCACACGCACACAAAAGATGAATGAAAAAAAACGAAAATCCCTCATGTAGCCCTACACAGATAGACGGAGAGTGTGCGTTAGTGGGCGCATATTAAGGCCTGTGTGGCACACGAGGGAGGTGGTCTGTCCTACACCGTACCCAGCTGCCTTTGTCTTCCTAAGTGCCGGTTTTAACACACTACACCAGGTTAATTTGGAGCTTTCGTGACTGCAGAAACGTCGTATGCTAGTATTTAATTTATTATTTTCTCTTTATACGTAACTTTACCGAAAGAACCAAAGAGTACTACACCAGGTACTCATTTAAGGCCAAGTCGACCTAGGGAAGGCCCTAGAGAGGTTCCGATATATGCCACTGATGCTGACCATGAGTAGAAATGGAATTCTGGTGACCAGATTTTTTTGGTGAAATGTGCCAACTGCTATGCCACCGCTCCCCCATGCAGATGCTCGCGTACACACACACACACACGTGTGTGCATACCAACACACACACCGGACCTCAATTAAAATTCCACAACGTACAGCAACAAGAGCCTTGATTTCTCAAACTAAACCCCATCAGGTACAGAGGGCAGTTATTGATGTGATCAATGAAAACGATCAAGCATTCATTTCACTGTGGAGGGCCTTCTAGAAACAGTGGCTAATAAATACAGAATGGTGCCATGTTCAACTTTCATTGTTCACTGTCCCGGAAGCCTGTGTCAAATGTAAATAGGTCCCTAAGTGGCCAATCTTTTAAAATATGTGAGTGAATTATAATTTGTGGAGATGGCTTTGAAAGTATTTTTACTTATCCACGTTATTTCTATAAATAGATCACCATGTATTTTGACAGTACACTATCAAAATAATCTTAGAAGAGCCACCAAAAAACGTTAAATTCCATAATATAATCACATCAACCCAACGTGATAGATATTTTGAATCTAGAGTCTATTATCTTGCTTGTATAACATTACAAAGCACTGATGTGAGCATATATGTTCTGAAAACCCGAGTGTGGAGTCGATACCTCTGAACAGCTTTTATTTGCACGCAAGCACTCACACTTACGTCCTGTGAACACGCACACTTGTACACTGCGTATATTTCATCTAGCTCGTAGATTAAAGCTTGCACAACGATTCTAATTGATGGCAAGCTACCGGTAAATTACAAATTCCATCCATTTTAATAAAATAACGGCAGCCCTCAATGGGTCCAAATGTGGTTTCAATCATTTTGTTTTAATGTTTGGGTTAGCCTTTCATTGTTGACTTGCGGACAAATTCTAGGGTAAACCGTACCGGTGTAGAAGTCCGAGTAATGATTCATATTGCTGTGCGGAATTCAGAATTGTACATTTTAGTGTTCCTAAAAAAAAATAACAACAATTCTGTGGCAAAAACATAGCCTGTACTTTAATGGCATAATTTTATGGTACGGAGAGGGGAATTCAAAATAGCATTGTTTGCAAACGCCCACGGAAATGAATAATGACAATTACGAATTATGATTAATTACACGCGAAAAAATGCACATGTGGTGCACTATTTGTACGGGCACAGCTGTTGCTACAGAAAGCCATATGGCCACTTTTTGCCGTTTGACCTTACCATGGTTTTAAATATTGTGCATCTCATTACCCAAAAGGGTTGTCCGCACACTCACCAAAAATTGTGTTACTCGTCGAACAATACCCCTGATCATCTTTTTAACCGGCACCACTCCATGAGCAGGTTCTTACGGAGAGGCGAGTGTTCACCGAGCAGCTCACGGTCAATGCTTCTCCCATAATGCCCTATCAGCTGCCTCCTCCCACGTTCGGCACACGCAATTCATTTGCATGTGAAGCTACGCACGATTACTCATCTGAATTGAGGCAGGACAAGCCAAACATCAGTGCTCAGCGCGTCGCTTGCACTACTGTATTACAGAGTAGTGTAAAACTATTGTATTTAACGCATGGCTATGAGGATTTGAGGCCTCTCTTGTCATGTGCATCGCTTCGATCTGGGTGTTTAGCAGTGCTGGATTATCCTCGTAGCAAAAGTAGCTACTACATAAGTAGCTACGGGCCCCGCACTTTCAAGGGCCCCGCGCTAAATTCTTTCAAGCTATCAATTCCGGTTCAGTGATTCTGCACTTGTTCTATTACTATAGTACTATACTGCCTTCAACTTTTATGAACTGGGTGTTTACGGCTGGCGATTTGTCGTATTGTCGTGGATGTATAGCAAATGAAAAAATACAATTGCTTTATTACGCAAGTTAAACATTTGTTAATAATTGTTTTTTTACCCTTTTATCTGGCAACAAAACTGACACCTTTTTTACAAGGAGTCATGTTTGCATTGACCACAATACCTGCAGTCGGAATGCAAACAAACAACATAACTCTGATAATGTATGCACTGTCCTTGAAATTTGATTGGTCCACACCCGAGACAGCTTTCTTTAGAGCCTAGTCTCACATGGTGTTGGACCAGATGACGCCAAAAGGCGCACAACTCAAGGACAATGAACCATCAGAGTATGAGAACATTTGTGTTTTAATATTAATATTTTTAAATTTAGGGCCCCTTCATAACATATGCTACAGGCCCCGCACTAGCTTAATCCGGCACTGGTGTTCAGGGGTACAGCACAATTGGGGAGGACAACACTCAATTATCGTGCTTATTGGCCAACTCGGCTACATTTCAAATGGCTCAAATGAGGTTCTTCCACTATGTCGATTGTATGATTACTGCACTGCGGTAGTGCTTGAGCTTATGTGTAAGTTGCCACTAAAATTGTCATATTAAGCGCTGTTATTTAGCAGCAATTCAGATTAAATCAAGCAGAAAATGCATCCACTGCACAAAGCAACAGCTTAACACTCTCGATTGATTAAAATAGCTCTAAACTTGTCCATGCAATCAGCATTCCACTTACCCAACACGTGTGAAGTCCTTAATCATGCCTGTGCATCAGTGCAAGTGACTCAGATTTACTCCATAGCCTTATAAATGAATACAAATAATATTTCACAGCCTTTTGTCAGTCCACTTCTAGATGAAGGCCTCCCCCAGCTTTTTCGTGGGTCACAGCAGTTGTTTGACCATATTTCACCACGCCGGTCAGTATGGGTTGGTGAACAGGAAGCAGAAGGCCGTTCAAGGTATCACTCACTACTGCTGTTAGCCGTGGTTAGGAAACACACTCAGGTTCTCAGCGCAGCGCAATAACCTGCACCATTCACCCCCACTTTTAACAAGTACTCTATTATTATAATACGTAGGTTAAACTGTGTGAAATTCAGGATTTTTTTTAGAGATTCATCAGAAAGGGCGCCAAATAAATCCGAAATAGAATAGAAATAACCGTTTACAAGTACGCACCCTTTATTTAAAGCAGGAGATAAAATTAATTGAGACGCATTGAAAAAACATTGGCTCCCTTGCAAAGGGAAAACCTGATCCATTGCAAGGGACACTTTGCAAAAGCCAATACATTTTACATCGCAGGAGTCCGAAAGAAGACAGTTGCTCAAGGAGGCCGTTATCCAGTAGTGCATTTACCATAGCTGATGATCCTTATGCAGATGGCATGACTGACAAAAAAAAACAAATTATGTGTGCGGTGTGCACAAATGACAACTGTGCGAGGCTTACTGTTGAGACACGAACCCGCTGAAGCGCAGACACTTGATGGCCACGAAGATGTTCCAATCGGCGTGCCGTGCCCGGTACACAATGCCAAATCCGCCGTGATTTATCATGTGCAAGCACAACAACTTCTGGTAGGGCACCAAGGCCAGGCTCGAATCCGAAGTCCCAGAAGCCATGGCAATTTATATCCTCCAGTAACGGAGGTGTTTGGGATGTACAATACCAATGGCCAGGCCTCGGCGTACAACCTTAGAAGTGAATATCTTTCAATCTTGTCGTTCAGAATGAATCTAAAGGTTGGCAATTGGTGCCACGTACAGTGTTTACGAATGCTAAGACTTTCCGACCAGGATGTGGTGGGATTTCAGGTGCAGTGGTGATGATGAACTCTATGACCAGCTCCACTCACATTTCATAACCACTGCGGTAAATTTGCAATGCGCCTAGTTTTTCTTAAATGTTTCAGATTTTTTACAAAAATTTCCTGGAATATTTGTAATTAACTTGCAATACAAATATACTGCAAACACTGTCGTCTGTTAAAATGTGTGAAATGTAGATTTTTTGCTGCCAAATATTTTGGGTGCAGTGGTTAATATTTCAAATAGCCAAATTTTTTACCAAATATATTAAGATGTACACCTGCTCTTGATGCAGTGCAACTTCCATTTTAGATCCATCACAAAAATATCCAATGCGGCATCCCTGTTGAAACAAACAAAACATTGAGACATCCATGTCTGAAAATACGTTCTGCAAGTTATAACGAAGCAATACATTTTCAAACTATACCAACTATTTGGTGATGCTGCATTGGCAGTGGTGCACAAGCACAAATATAAGAACTCAAAACACTGTGGCATTAAAAGGAAGAGCATGTATAAGGGGCGATGTTTGCGGGCAATGGCTCTTTTTCATAGCAGTGGTGATAATTTTTTTGTTATATTTGTTAAGAGGCTGCTGTGTATTTGAATTATGCAAATTTGGAAATGTGGAGCATAGACATTTTTTTCTTGTGACCACCAAGCAAATCAGAGGATAGGATACCCAAATAAAGTTTGTGGTTCTCTGAAATTGTACTCAACATTAACTTTTTTCATAACTATCAATAAAGTTATAATACTGTAATTTCCAGCCTTTTCTGAAACCACTGCTGGATGAGGGCTTCCCCATGCTGTGTCGCTTGGCCATACTTCACCATGCTGGTCAGTGCGGGATGATGAAGGTGGAACCCAAGACTGTTTTATCACCCATCACTGATACATAACCTCGACCTAGCATTTAACTCAGGTCGTCAGTTTCACATTATTGACACAAAAACACATCAGTGGCTTGCATGAATGTCACATCCAGACGAAACAATGTCAGAAACATAATGAGGACATCAAATTACTATTACAGGTGGCTTGCTTATACAAACGCTGCGTTAGGTCGCATTCATCAATAAGAATCCCCTGGCACGGTCCTATCAATGGAATAGCCAATACATTTTAGTCCTTGTGGGGACAGGTGGAGATAAGAGACGCGAATTACGCTGGTAATAGAGTGCAGGATGTGAAGTTCCATGGGAGGAGGGCAAGAGGCAGAAAGTGAAAGTGAGATGGGTGTGATAAAGGAGGAGATGGGAAGGTTTGACATCAGCATGGAGCTGCTGCAGAACAAAGGGGAAAGTAGAGCAAGGAGTAAAAACGCAGGGCCAAATAATTGGAAATTAGGCTGAAAAAAAATTGTTGAAACAAACTCTGTGAGAGAAAGTTCTGGAAAGGCCTTTATCCAGCTGTGGATTTAAAAATGGCTGTTAATTATTTTGGTCAAACATAGGTTCTACAGATGATTGTGGTTGCCTGATGTTAATTATCGTGATGTTATACAAGGGCCAGTGTGTTTATATTTGGCACATAGACCAGTCTATTTGTTGTACTCAGTGGTCAAATTAGAGATTTAGTAGAAGTCTCAGTGTGAAACCTATTTGTCCTGAAGCCCATGTTTACTGCAGTTCCCCATCTGCAGAAACATTTAGTATAGGAATAGCAACCATTCTGAAAAGTGCCGGTACACGTGCTTGGTGTTCTGAGAAGTGCACGTATCGTATACCAGCCATTTTGACCACTGCTTGTACTTGAACGAGAAAAACAAATTAAACCACAAAAAAAAACCTCTGAAATGTTGTTTTGATGACAAGACCTGCCGTAATCTCAACACTGCTTTCATTGTTGTGCTTAACACTCAAATTACAAGATACCCAGTACCAGTAAACCAATTACTTTGCATTCTGAAGATTGTGACACTATGGAAGCAAAAACAGTTATTAAAACAGTATAGCACAAACAAACAGGCTAATTAAAAAAAAATACTAATTACTTGTCTCTATTCTGAGAAAAATGTTTTGAGGTTTTGGCTGACTGACCTGCTTGAGGAAGGATATGGTTAAAAGTAGATTGCTACGTAACAAAAATGTCAGTTTTCCCAGGAAAGCCTGAGCCCCAAGACCTATTCAAGAGGCTCCAGCATTTGAACGTTTGGCCAATTCCGTTAACAAGTGCTTAAGGGCCGTCCATAAATGACGTCACGCAATTTTGGACGATCTTTGATCCCCCCCCCCCCCCTTCGTCTCACGGCGTCACAAAAAGTCAGACCCCCCCCCTCAAATATGATGTCACAAAGCTCTGCCCCCCCCGAAATAAAACATTCTTCAAATTGCTTTAAAATATTGTCATTGTAGTGCGTATTTAATGTGGCGCTGCACTCTGATGTTGTAGGAGAAAACATTTATTAAAAAGTATATTTAATTAAGTAGAACGTGTTGTCTGTATTTAAAGTTGCGCATTTTGATGTGACGTCACATTTCTCACCCCCCCCCCCCCTCGTCACAAATGTCTGAACCCCCCCGCCCTAGGTGCGTGACGTCATTTATGGACGGCCCCTTAGCTTGTGGGAAGAAACCAGGGCATCGACAGTAAAATCACACAGAGGAAGGGGTGACACGCAACTGACATTTTCTATCTATTTCTTTTACCAGGTAAGGTCCACTGAGCTATATAGCTCTTTTTCAGAAGTGACCTGGCCACTTCCACATAATCCAAACGAAGTGGCTTATGTGGAAATGTATAGCAGCCAAATCCTCTAAACGTACGTTTCTAAATATGGAGGGAAAGACCTGAGGACCCGGTGAAATATCCACGTTACCACGGGGAGAACACGCAGACTTAAAATATACAGCAACAGGCGTCAGGGTCGGGATCGAATCCCACGACCTCCTGTATACCAGGTGAGGTAGTTAACATCTCACCACCGCAGCCCCCTGGCCACCTCGCTACCCCACACCTACAAACCCTGGCAGTTACCCATACACCGAGTACTGAACAGGCTCAAATTTGCTTGGCTTTTGAGGTCCAGTGAAATCAGGTGCAGTGGTTTGATCGGAATGTCAGGTGTCCAATCGCTGAGTGCGGTACTTTTGGTTACATTTGAATTACGGTATTCTGCGGATTATAAGACACATTCCCACTCCCCCTGTATTTTAAAGCAAAAGTTGGCCTCAGTCTTATAAACTGATCAGTTTATGTATGTTTGTACGTGTTCACATTTGTATAACTTTATTGAGACTGGGCACAAGCTTTGGGGAGCATCTTGGGGGGAGGGATTGTGTTGGGAGTCATATCGTGACGCAAGCTGTGATCTTTACTGCAGTGAACAAAAAAACACGTCAGGGGCATGGCCACGTGTTTTTTCTTCTTCTCCATGTGGGTTTAAAACAGAGAACTGGGGATTTCCAACTCTAACAAGAATCACAGTCCATAAATACACGTACTATGCGTCCTGTGCAGAGCTTAGAGATAACAAGGGCTGTTCAAATACACAGAACTCCGATATTGCAGCATCATTTGGCTGTGCTCGATGTAAAGATATTATCACTCACTATACCCTTGTAGGACAAGAGGTGGAGGTTTTCCAAGCTCGATTATTATTACTTAACGAATTCACACGTTCAGAAATCCGCCTGGTCTTTCTGTGTCTTCATACGCTAGTCGAGCACAATCATGATTATAATCAACATCCTTGCTATCTTCATCCGTTGCCTACGGCGTGAAGGCTTTTCCCCCACGCCTTCGCCAAAGCCAAATCCGTCTCGGTCCAGGGCAACGGGTTCACCATCTCCAACTGCGGCCATCCTATACAGCAGCAGTGGTTCTTATTCACCTTCACTGCAGCCTTGCAACACACCCTATGGGTTCTCAAATTATGTTGATAAGCGCATATGGGTTTGATTACTTAAGCGCCATTGCTTAATTTGTGCTTTCGATTATTTATTAAAATCTGGCCATGCCTGGCACCCCCAGAAAGGGCATCTCGCACGCCCAGGTTAAGACGAAGCACCACCCGATCTGGATACCAGTCTCGCCCACACATTAGACCAACATCATCACCCCTCCTCCCCAACCATAGTTCTCAAATCCACCTCCACGTGTGTCCTCCGCTCTTGCCGTGGGTTTAATTCAAATCACGCACCAATGTTGCACTTAAAAAAACGTTTCCACGTATGTGTGATACTCTTGGGATACGTACTGCACCGTACTGTATGTATGCTGTGTTGTAGCGTTGTTTCATGTATATGTACGTGTATAAAAAACCGCTACTTATATGAGCCGATTCTTAATCTTAGTCTGCTGAAGACAACGTTACTTCGTGCGTAACTTGTCGAGTTTGTAACAACAACATCATCAGCGGCAACAACAACAACAAGAAGCATCACCACCACCACCAAGCAGAATGAACTCCGCGCGTTACTCCGTCAAGAGAAAGAGAGTCGCACAGCTCCACTCGTACCTACTTGTAGCCACGTCCGCCAGCTTCTCTCTGCGACACGCGTGATCTGTGTTCAACGGCTGCAAATAAACCAAACGACGGGCGACAATAAATAACGAGACAAGAGAGCGACCGATGAACTTGCGTGAAAACGAAACCGACGATTTTAACTTCCGAGATGACGACCGCCTCGGTGACGTCCGCATTTTTCCCCTTCCCCGTGACACGCGAGGCGTAGCCACGAGACTCACACGCGCATTTAAAACACATTCCTGCGGAGGGAGCTGGTAGGAACGTTGGGTTGCTCGGTCAATGGCCAGGGTCAACGGCGGCGTGGTGTATTCCGCAAATATGGCTGACTGTGAGGGCGGGCACAAGCCGGCGTGAGTAGGATAAACGTTGAGTTTTATAAGGGCACCACGGGGTGACCAGCCCCTCCCCAACCAGCCCCTCCCTACCCTCCCCACCCAGCCCCTCCCTACCCTCCCCACCCAGCCCCTCCCTACCCTCCCCACCCAGCCCCACCCTCCCTCCCCACCCAGCCCCTCTCCACTCTCCCCACCCAGCCCCACCCTCCCCACCCAGCCCCTCCCCATCCAGCCCCTCCCCTCCCCACCCAGCCCCTCCCCACCCAGCCCCTCCCCTCCCCACCCAGCCCCTCCCTTCACGACGGACAGACGGACACAATAATCCCCTGTGGGCTGGTGTAACCAAGAGGTTCCTAGCAGTATCAAGGCCGTAGCCATGCAGTCAACATTGGGGGGGACCAAATATTCCAGGTGGTCTGGGCCCCCCCCCCCCGAAAAATATCTAAATATGAAAACGAATTTCATGCCTAAAATAGAAGAAAAATTCACTAACACATAGGATTGACTTCTTTTTTACAATAATGTCTAATAGTGTATTGTATTACATTGCTCTGTTTTTTCTTTTTTACATTTTCTTGTTTCATTGTATGTAATGGCATGGATTAGGGATTTATAAAGTACAACCATAACCACAATCATATAAACAAAATCTATTTTATAGCAATATATTGGGGGGGGGGGGCATTTTGGGCATTTTTGAATATGGGGGGGGGGGGGATGTGTATATTATATTTACGGCCTTGATTTAAATGCACACACAACACCACACACACAACAACCGCCATTAAGTGGCAGTGACGTGACACCACGACGCTTGTGCCAGGCTAGATGCACCTTGAGGCCACGTGAAGTGTCGAACGCCCGCTGGCAGGAGGTCACGGGGCAGACCCAGGTGCCACGGGTCGACTGACTGAGATGACTGAGATGACTGGCTGATGCACCACCTGTGCCCCCTACTGTACCAACTTGCTGTGCTTTAGCCACCCGGCGCTCCGCTCATTGTTGTGAGCGTCGCTCCTCCGCCCTCCGTTGTTGTTGGAGGGCCACTGCATCCAACTGCCCAGTAGCGTCCTTCACGAGCCTCCTCCACTGAGGCCGATCTTGACACCGCTGGTACCGGTTATCGGCAAGTCCACTCAGATCCACATCCTCCTGTACCACATCACTCCATCTCTTCTCTAGCCCGTGCCGCGCCCGTTTAGCCCCCTCGATCCGGCCAAACAAAAGCTGTTTAGGCATGCGGTGGCTGGGCATGCGGGCTACATGACCCAGCCAACGGAGCCTTGGCTGCCAGAGGAGCTCACCGATGGGACTTTGTTCAGATCTTTCAAGGATTTGTGAGCTCCTCACACAATCCAGCCTGGTTAAACCCAGGATGGATCGTAGGCAGGCCAGCCTAAATGTTTCCAACCGGCGAAGATTCTCCATTAGGGGGGTCCACATTTTGCAAGCGTAGAGAAGGGAGGAAATGACCGTGGCCTAGAAAACCTGGGCATCCTTCCAATCATGTGGAACCCGTCCAGTGGTCTAGACTGTTGCTATGTCATGTAGGGTAGTCTGTGCACAAACACCACTCTCCTTCAGCATTTCGCTTGGGAGATCATCTCTTCCAGGTGCCTTTCCTGGTCGCAGACTCTGGATCGCCTTCAGTACTTCCTCAACAGATAGCATCTCAGCCAGCCACTCCTTTGAATATTTGAGACACCGCAGGCTCAGCAGGGTCATCCCCACTTTATCCCACGATGTTTTCCATGGGTTAGGGGGCCATTTATTTAGTACGTACGCATGGAGATGGGAGGGGGGTAACCCAAATGCGTATGCTTGCGAATGGGGGGTCTACTGACAATGTGCGTACACATAGGAAACGGGGGGGGGGGGGGTGAAGCCTCGATAATAATTTGTCTACATTGGCCTCCAAATGAGTTAGATAGTCGGGCGGTGGACTATCTGTTTGCTTATACACGTTAATATTATTCATCCTTGATCGTTTCTGCGTGGATTAAATATCGGCCGTTCTATAGGATTCGGGGGGGGAGGGGAGTGGTCAAGTTTTGACAGATTTTTGCATACCTACTATATGGATGAACCTATGAAAGCGGGCACGAGCGTGCACTCGGCGTGTTGGTGTCGACAGAAACTACCACGCCTCGCCGCCTTTGTCTCCCCAGTGCTGATGCTCACCGCATCAGATAACTCACTTGAGGCCGAGTCGACCTAGGGGAAGGTTCAGATGATCGTCACCGGTGTTGGTGTGGAGCTGGGATCGGATCTCGCGTCGTCGGGTTCGTAGTGCAGAGTGTTAAGCACTACACTACCGCTCCCATTTCAAGTGCAAGTGTTACACTTTCTCACCTGTCGGATTATAACAAACGTGTCTCTACCTGCCTTATAATAATGCAAGTGCGGTAAATGTTTTTGAATTTACCCCACAGTACTTGAGCAACCCTTTAAAGGAACCATGGCAGACCAGGTGCCGCACCTTACTGCTGATGTTTGTCCACATTAACATCAGCGCTGTGCTACATATTGTCAAAGTATCTGATTTCTTAGCCCGATATAACACCGCCGAATTAAGTACAATATTTTATTTGGTTCTGGTAGAAATACAAACATCAATATGTGCAATGCACCTAGCAAAGAAAATAATGTAAACCTCGCAAGATAATAGTTCAAAAAGTCAACACGTTTGTCGTTAATGTACGACCCGAAAAGGACACATACAGGTGAATGAAATAGACGACGTTTTGGGTAATGGACCTTCTTCATAGCAGAGGGATAGAGAAGCTCTAAGGCTCATGGTGCCCCGCCGATTTTAGTTAATTCACTGACTTGTCACAGTTCAGCGACCGGCGATTTCAATTCAATAATTTATGCTTTTTTTGTCTCTTGTTACCGTCTTGTTTACATTTGTAAAATAGGTCTCGTTCTATCAGCCTTACCGCAACAATATTAACTTTTATACGATTCGAAATCAATAGAAAACATCACTTCTTCAGTGCGTGCATCACGAACCCCCAAGAATGTATTTTAATTTATGCGTATTGCACATTTCAACGATTTTTTAGCGATTATTGTATTCATACATTATTTAGTTTTATTCATATGGTACCACTTAATTGTTAAGGTCATACAATACTTCACGGGGTATTGGGCCTTCAGGTTCGTGCAAGAGGATTTAAAGAAGTGTGTACATATTTCAGTTTTCACTTCGGAATTTCATTTTTGGCAGCATTGGTAGCAGGGATAAGGTAGATAAAACACATACTGCCTGTGGTTATGCTCTATAATCATCAGAACGGATGGCTTTCGGTTCATTTAAAGAGCATTATCGGAACAAAGGGAACACATTCCGGGGGTTTATGTTGTGCCAGAGAAAGAGAACAAACCTTGATAACCTCGCAGTCACTATGGTATCCACGTAAATTGACCGACCCTAATGATCAGTTCATTGAATGAACAGTTGGGGGCAGTGCAGGTCCATGTCTTCAAGCTCACTGCAAAACATCTGGGACTCATAAAGGTATCGTTATTTGTCCTGACTATTCGTGTTGGTATTCACACAACTTAGACGGCGGTTTCACAAAGCAACGGTGAGTTATGATTTTATTTTTTTATGCCAGAGGACTTTTACATTCAAAATTATGCAGTTATTCATGTATTCATTAATTTGATCTGCTCATTGATTTGAATGACAAGTCAGGTCGGCTGTGCCGTTGCAAACACATTTGTGAAATATAAGAGCACAGTTGCATCCAATGATGGTACCTTGCTTTTTCTTATACAGTATACGTTTTTCTTATGATACATTCTGGTACAGTAGCATCACATATACAATACGAGGGGTGGCCACATGCGCTTTCCAGACAGTCCAAGTGAAGCTCAACACACACAGAGAGACTCGACTAACGTTTAACTTTTCAATATAACTTCATATAAAACAAAGCAAACAATCTGCAGAAGCAGGATCGAACCTAGGCACTCAGTGCAGACATAAGGACTCCCGGGGTAATCCCACAGATTACTATATGGGCATTCAAAACTCCACATCTATCCAGCACGATTGAACCAGCTACGGTGGCTACCGCATACGACGTGTGTGTGTCTTGTGGCTCTTGGTCACTGTGGAGATTTTTGATATGTCACTCATAGAGGTCAGGACACCTCTTGCATATACTGTACACGTAAAGCCCAGAATTAATTATGAGCTCACCTTAATTGCACTTCTCCCTTGTTGTTTAGCTTGGTCTGAAGTTCTTGGAAATTGGAGAGGTGTAAAAGTAGCCACCCAGGCGTGATATTGGCCACCACACGCTATTGAATTGAGTCAAAACCGGAGCAATGTTATGCTTTTTTTTATGAATTCTAGAATTTTGCTAGCTATATGGAATACTAAAATTAACATTTTAAGAAATATATTTTCAAGTGTGTCGTGCATAGGGATGGGCACCAGCAAGGCTTAATTTCAGCTAGAGCTGTCTAGGGCTGAGCTCCAGAAAATATGTTTCTGCCTTCCCCCTCCACCACCACCCCTGTTAGAGAGGGGTGTGGGGTGGGTTTGTGGCGTTTGGGGTTGGGGAGGCTTTGGAAAATATGCCGTGACAAATTAAGCCCTGGGCACCACTGTAATTCTTTGCCAGCCTTCATAAAACAGTCTTGAGATTCAATGTGGTTTATCCTGGTGACTTAAATAATAAATAAACAGGGCCCTGTCTGACCGCAGAAAAACTAAAATAACATTTTAGTCCATCAGCCCGGGGCCGTTTATAACAATGTTTTCCAGCAGCATTTGTTTAAAAGGCAAACTTTGCACTGATTTCGACTTTCTGAATCCCATCAAGAGTCTGGTATTATAATATTAGTAGACAAGCAGATCGAGAAGGGCTATGTCCATCATGATCATTGGTTGTCCAGATGTTTTCCAGACCCAACGGACTTCAATACGTACTAAATGCATAAAGAACGAGTCTTTGGGGAAACGTTGGATTGAACCGTATTGTTTTCCTGTACAAGCTTGAAGACTATACCCACGTTTAGTGCATTGAATGTAATGAGCGCGACTGTGCACTGTTAGGCGCTGCAATCCGTGTTCGAGCCGTGACAGTTAACAGGGCATCACCACGAGGCAGCATTAGCGGGTCGACTACATTACTCCAGAGGCATTTCTCACAATCGACCACACGACCACACCACATCCACTTCTTGCAAGATGTTCAAGTGAGTAAGCGGAATCACGGCCATACGTGACTACACGGGCATTATTGGCATCTGCACAGGGTGTGAGCTTGTGTGCTGTCACAACATTCGATCCTGCCCTGCGGATGTGAGAAGCCACACGGGCGGAGTAATATCCTACCGTTAGAATCATTTCCCGGTAATGTGGTTGCTGCTGCTGCTGCTGGTAATGATGATGCATCTATGATGCATGTCCTTTAATATATTTTGAAAACAGTGCCGCATTTCCCTGCAGTCTGGTGTATCAAATGTCTTTGAAACGTTGATGACAAAGATGACGATTGAATGCTGATGATGCTAATTGCTGATGGTAACAAAAAGCTGGCATTAGCAGGAGCTTTACGTTGCACGTCAAATTTATTTTAAACGTTGATGACAAAGATGATGATTTAATGCTGATGATGCTGACTGCTGATGGAAACAAAAAACTGGTATTAGCCAGAGCTTTACCTAGCACGTCATCAAAGGGCAATGCAAAAACGCCACTACAGTTAAACCTTAAGGGTAATTGTGTACACAATTAACATTTTATCAAGCCAACTTGGGGTAACCAAGTTAGAAATTACGAGATCCACACCTCTTTCACGAAGACACGTCTCGTGTCTGTAGGATTTTATTGGTGTTACTCTTAGCCATATACAGTATATAGTTCCAGTCAATAGAGAGGGCTTACTTAGCCCTAAGGCTACTTAGTGGCGCCGTCAAAACTGATAAGTCGATATCCGACTTTCGTGTGACAATGCGATGCTAACGCATGCATCAGGCCACGTGACGTAAAGGTCACGGCTCTGACAACTGACTCACGCTCTTAAACCCTTCCAAGTCTGAAAGTCGCACAACTTTGTTTTTAATTTTGTGATAAATGCAAGGCTACTTGGTCTTTGTCAATAATGACAAATAATAGGAGCAAAGTTGGTATTGTCCTCATTAATGACTGGTGCTATATGAGTGAGGCTGGCTAAAGTAGTGGTATTCTTTGTTTACAAAACAAATTACGCGTTAGCCCACTGAAAGAGGCCACATCACACCTCAATGGGCCAGAATTTTCAGGGGATTTTTTTTCCGATTATTTTTGCTGTGTCCCAGTAGTCTCGTCCTGAAAGAAATGTAACTGTACTTTATATATAAGACTTATAGCAAGTATTATTCTGCAGAAGTTTTGGACCAGAGGGAGACCCAGTTCAGATCAAGAACGTCTCGCCTCAGAAACGCATTTAGGAAAATCATATTGTGGTTATACGGTACCATAATCATGGATGTTATTTCAATTCACCATCGTTTAATGTAACCAAGTCAGAGACTGTTATGTCTCAAGTTAACATTTTCAAGCTATTACCTGGAAAGCATTATTACATTTATTTGAACAATTCAGTTGCAAGTACAGTACTGTATATTTGTTTTAAATATTATATTTGATTTGAGTTATGCCATAGTACACAATTGTCTGTTTTATTGGAACTGTTTCACATGGTTCTAATGTTCATTTTACAGTGGACAGTAGAGTGCATTTGTGGCTCTATAAAGATGGGAATATTAATGTTTAAATCACGTGCGAAAATCAGTTATTTTTTAATCAATTGAATGCGCAGCACTACATTGAGCTCTGCATTTTAACCAAGGTTCTTAACTTATGCAGTACCCGGACATGGACAAATGCTCATACGAATACTTTTTTTGAATCATCATTGTTATTAGAGTGGACATTTTTTATACAAGGTACACATTGTGAAATGTATTACATTTTTGTGGCATCTTCTGCCATCCTTATCGGCTCTGAGGGCAGTTTTGTCTCACAACATCATATACCACAAAATGTGCCCCGTAATCACTATGTATCATTCCTATATGATTATGTTTCCGCACGATTTCCATGATTTTCAATGCAAAGGTGTTTGCATTGGCCAATTTATTCAGACACTTTGGAGAGTGCTCCAGGCATAAGTGTCACGTGTTGATGATGGGTTGTAATGTTAACACATATACAGTATATTGATGCATACACGCATACTTAATGAATGGGTGAAATGTTATGGAACACTGTAATATCTCAATCATAACTCAGTTTGCTTTTGTGTCCTATATAATCAGGTGACAACCCGTTCAGTCTAAATGTCTATCTTTGGAAGGGAGACCCGAGTTCCAAGAAGAGCTGGGATGATCAAGTCGATCGATCGACAAACAAATTGTAATCGGCCTTTGTTTTGTGGTCGAATACTTGGGCACATTTAACAATTGTGGCTGCTTTGACATTCTGCATATCGAAGGCGAGAAATCCCCGACAAGCCGCACTTAGTGTGAAGTGGCTGGCCCAACAGGCACACGTGGGAATAAAAATTTAATTTCCCACCCTCCCTCCCAATTATATTCGTCTTACCGATTACGATTAGTCGAGTAATCGAACCGACAATCGGCAGAGCACAGTAATCGTTTATTTAAGAGTCACACGTCCCAGCTCTGGTCCAAAGTAAATAAAAAAATCAGGAAGAAAAATAACAATTTTCACTTTGCTGTCATCCCCGCTTAATGAACGACGGAGGTGGTGGCCAAGCATTCCGAACCCACGTCTCCGCTGAATTTAATGAAGTGTGCCTTAATAGGGGGTTCTTTGAGCCAGCGGACTAATAATAAATAATGGGGCCCCGCATCTGCCAGCTGACGGGAGTGGCCTCTCATCGCCTCGCCTCCCCCTCCCAGAGCCCACTGGCCTCCTTGTTCCTCCCTTCTCAGAGCAAATCAGGCGTCTCGATCCCACACGAGCCCTCGCTCTTAATTGCCCCGCGCCTGTGTGCGCGTGTGTGAGTCTGTGCGGCGGTGAGCGGTGGCGCAGTGGTTAGCGCGCTTCGCTCCGAACCCCCTGCCGCCCAAGCTCGATTCCCGACCACGGCCAACGCCAGTGACGATTCTCTGAACCGGTCCTGGGCCTCTCCTAGGTCGACGCAGCCTCAAATGAGTAACTGGCATGGTGTGTAAACATCGTTACTAGGGAGACAAAGGCGGCCGGGCGTGGTGCTGGCCACCCAACCCCCTCCTGTGCCGTTTCAGGTCTTCGTAAGTGCAACTCGCTAACAGCACTTGCCCTCAACAGTCAGTGAAGGCTATACGGGGATCTTTGTCTTTGTGTGCAACGCCTCCATCCTCTCCTCCATCACCCCCCTAGTGCCTCTTTTCTATTTTGGTCTTGAATTTGGAAGCGAGCCAAACAAACCCTGCGTGCATTTTACAGCATTCGCCTTGCCAGTCTATCCTGCCTCCTTCTTTGCCTGTTTAGCGTTGTGTATTGTTCCTGCAACATAGTATATCCCTGCGATGATGCATGTACGGTATTCACCGCCCGGTGTATGATTACGTATCGTTTATACACATCGTGCGCCTATGTGGCAGTGCTGTGGCGGTGAGTGTTGTGTAGTCACCGGACGTGCAGATGTTCTATAGACATTTAGTCATCATCAGCATCATCAGCCATGGTCATCAGTCAATTGCTGGATGAAGGCCTCCTCTGCAAGTGGTCATCTCTCACCGAGCATGCGACGTGAACCGGGCAGCACCTGACTACACACATTGCAGACAAGGTGCGCATTGCATGGCTGTTATAGGTGATTGAGTAAACGTTACTGCAGTGCAATAACACACACACACACGGTCTTATGTTTATAATGTACTTAATTACACAGAAGACATATAGGAGACGCTTATCATTGGCTTAAATACAGGGTGGCACGCGGAGAAATCTATATTCACTTGGTGAATATATGGTGGGTATAGATTTCTTGTCTTTTTTTTCTAAATGTTTCACTTGTTTTGTGGAATACCTAGAGAGTATGAGCGCATTTACATAGCCAGTATCATTTAGCGAAGACTAACAGGCGGAAACGTATAATTTTAGGTTAGCCTTCGCCACAGGGGGAGTAAAAGATTCGGTTTACTTTCACTTATTCCAGTATCTATGAATTGATCGTGAGTCCCCTTCACTCACACTTACCTGACCACAGTTGTGAAGCATGCTTCATCCAGCAGTGGATTAACAGAGCACAAATGCTTTTGTCGTTTAACACGCCAATATATGCAAGTGTGCATTATTGGCACAGTTCACACAGTTGAGTATATTCAACCGAATGATGGCTTTTTGGAACTACTGTATTGAGTGGGCTCTGTTTATAACACAGTACACAATTACCCAGCGTGAGCGAGGCATGGCGAAAACAAGCCGGGAAACCAAAAAAAAAAACGCGGCGGATTTCATCCAGCAGTGGATCGAACACGGACGTTGTCCGTGCGTCTTGCCACTCCGAGGCCCTCCGAACGAGTGTCACTGCCGCCCACGTGCGCGTCCGGCCCACGCCACCGGTGCCTCCACGCGGCACAAAGGAGCCCGCGTCAAGCGAGACCCTGGTGCTGGGTGGGTGGGTGGATGGGTGGGGTGGGTAGGGACGTAGTGGGGGGTGGGTGGGTGTGTGGTTGGGGTGGGGGGGTAGGGACGTAGTGGGGGGTGTGTGGGTGGGTGGGTGGGTGGATGGGTGGGGTGGGGGGGTAGGGACGTAGTGGGGGGGTGTGGGTGGTTGTGTGGTTGGGGGGGTGGATGTGTGGTGTAGGTGGGGGGGTGGGTGATGTGTGGGGTGTGGGGGGGTGGGTGGATGGGGGATGTGTGGGTGGGTGGGGGGTGTGTGGGTGGATGAGTGGGTGGGGTGGGGGGTAGGGATGTAGTGGGGGGTGTGGGTGTGTGGGTGGGGTGTGTGTGTGGGTGGGTGGGGTGGGTGGGGGGTGTGTCGAGACAGCGGTGGTCAGCAGTAGGAGGCAGCGTGGGAGAGGAGGGGGCTATTGGGACTCGGTGTGGCTGGGTGGGTGGGTCGGGCTGGATGTTTGGCGTTGCGGGCTACGCGATTGTGGATGTGCCTCTCGTTTGGTGGGTGGAGGGCAGTGGGGGTGGGTGGGGGGTAGTCGCCGAGCTGGGTATCGGGGTTGTTGCGAGTGTGGGGGGTGCTGGTTGAGACATTGGTGGAAGGGGTAGGGGGGTGGTGGTGGTGGTAATAAGGGGGTGGAGGAGGAGGGAGGGAGGGAGGAGGAGGAGGCAATGTTCCTCGCCACAGTTCATATAGCCGTGCGCCATGCCCCCCCCCTTCGTCTCCCAGCGCACAGCCGAGATGACATCCACATACAGCAGCGCTCACATCATCGGCGTGCACAGCCTGCTGCTGCCGCTGCCTTGCCCACACCGTGGACTGTCACCGTAGGAGATCATCGCTGCCCGGTCGTCTCGTAGCAAGCAAAGCGGGGAGAAGGAGGAAGAGGAGGAGGACGAGGAGAAGGAGGAGAAGGAGGAAGAGGAGGAGAAGGAGGAGGGGGGGTCCTCTGTACGAGCCGAGCGTTCATGATTCGCAGCAGCATCAGCGTCGGCATCCGTCGGAGATCCGTGGACCCCAGTTGACGGCGAAAAGACGGCAGCGATTGGGAAGGCTGCTGCCTTCTCTTCATCCCTCCAACCTGTGCCGTAGACAGGAGGAGGAGGAGGGTGTTGCGGCAGCAGCAGCAGCAGCGGCTGCTGTTGTTGTTGTGGCTGGGAGCGGTGGGTCGGGTGGTTGGGGTGGTGCGGGAGCCGTGTCTCGGCTCGGGGAGTTCGAGAGGAGGAAGAAGAAGACGACGACGAGGAGAAGGAGAAGGAGGGAGGGTTGCCCCGGGGGTGGCCGTCTCTTGCCACAGCCATGGCGGGATCTGCCGGCGGCGGCGGCACGGAGCGACGTCCCACGCTCCGTCTGCTGTGCCTCGTGTACGCGTGGATTACAGCCTGGGGCACGGGCTGCCTGGCGGAGGATGCGTTCAGCACGGAGGTACCACCACGCAGACAGACACACAACACAGACACACACCACACACAGACACACACACACCACACGGGTGCTGGGGGCGAACGTGCCATTTTGCCGGCACCGATGTACGTGTCTGTCCCATCGTGGGAAGTGCATGTGCCGAATTGTCGATGTCGTCATAGAGGGAGGGAGGAGACACGTGCTTAGCCAGGCACTTACCACTCTACGTGGACACAGGACAGCATGCCACAGTAAGACACGTGCTTAGCCAGGCACTTACCACTCTACATGGACACAGGACAACATGCCACAATAAGACACGTGCTTAGCCAGGCACTTACCACTCTACATGGACACAGGACAACATGCCACAATAAGACACGTGCTTAGCCAGGCACTTACCACTCTACATGGACACAGGACAACATGCCACAATAAGACACGTGCTTAGCCAGGCACTTACCACTCTACATGGACACAGGACAACATGCCACAATAAGACACGTGCTTAGCCAGGCACTTACCACTCTACGTGGACACAGGACAACATGCCACAATAAGACACGTGCTTAGCCAGGCACTTACCACTCTACGTAGACACAGGACAACATGCCACAATAGACATGTGCATGGCCAGCACAGATGAACATGCCAACCCCAAAAGAGGCGAATGCATTTCTATCCACCGTGTACCATGGTCGAGGTAGGTGGTTTTAATCACATCGGTGCATCTGCATGTCACAGAAGTATACATGCCATGAGAGAGGGAACAAGTGAATTGCCAGCACAGAGATACAGTCCATATGTCCGGCACAGAGGTTGCATGTTCATACCCGACATGTGCCTGCCACAGTTGGAGAGGCATCCTCCATACCATATCTATAATGCCATCAGAAAGGTACGTGTGGCTGAGATAATCAACGATACGATATCAATCACAGACTTACACGTGAGGTGCAATATGCATATCCATCACCGAGGTACATATGCCTGTCAGTTTTCGGAATCTTTGTCGGAATATTTATTTATACCGTGTATATCCATCAGATGTTCTTATGAGATATCGATCGAATATGCACATGAGGTATCCATCAAATATTTTGCGTAAGATATGTTATAAATCCATGGTACATCACAGCGTGACATCTGCACGACCATATAGCATCTCCCTTTTGCCTATTGGAGCATCACCAACGCGTATACGGCAGTCAGACAATACACGATAGAATCTCGGTGCATTTTCATATCATACAATATATATGGCACGTGTGTATAGGACGCGATGTGTATATACACACATTGTGTACAAAGACAAAGATCCCCCATATAACCTTAACAGACTGTAGGGGCAAGTGCTGTTAGCGAGCACCTATAAAAGCAGGCACGGCACAAAATAGGGGGTGGGTGGCCAACACCACGCCCGGCCGCCTTTGTCTCCCTAGTGGCGATGTTTACACACAGCACCGGGTACTCATTTGAGGCTGAGTCGACCTGTGGGGAGACCCAGGACCGGTTCAGATGAATAGTCACTGTTGGTGTTGGCCGTGAGCTGGAATCGAACCGGACTAACAATGGGAAAAACCCGCACGTGGCGACTTTCTCCCGTGCACGACAGACAATGGGAATGTCACCGTAAACAAAGGGGAACCTCTGGCAAGGTGTCGGGTCACAATTCTGCCGGCCTCTTGCAAACTTAAGCGTCCTCTTTTTTTGTTCATCCGTCCGCCCTCGTGTGTTTCATCATTCAACACGCTAGGAGCAGCAGCAGCAGCATCATCATCAGCAGCAGCAGCAGCGCTCACAGCCATAGCCTAGCGTGGGATGATGACCGAATGATTTGGGGAGAAAGTGGATAGATGGAGGGGGAATTTGGATGATGGTTTCAGAATCGTGTCTGTTACAAACCTGGCCGATAATGTTATTGGGGGAGGTGGGGCGGATATTGGGGGGGTTGGTTTCGTGAATTGCGTAGGCAAGCAAGCAAACACCGGACTGGAATTCATTCTAATATCATTGTCTGAGCTCTAAATGCCTCTGTAAATGCTGCTCTGCAGTAACCAGATGTCAATGATTAATGTACATGTTATGCAGTCATTGTGTTTTTTTTATATTTGCTTGCTTTGCTATTTCCAGCTTGTTTTGAACGTGTTTCGTAATATGCTTTTATGTATTTTTTTGCGGCGTAAGCTGTGCACGATCAGGACGTGTTACGTTCTCTCTCCAAGGTCTTTGTTTACTCCACGCTGACCCAGATTTTCAAGTTGCATTGTCCTGTTGTTGTTGTTGTTTACGTTTGCAATTGCATTGTGTGTATGTCACACGAAACGTGCGTCTTATTTACCGACGTGTTACAGCACTGTTCATGCAAAAATATGAACTATCATAATTACATGGACCCTCTTCTGTGTTTTAAACCGATGTGTATCCACTGCTGGGTGACAGCAGTTTGACGACAGTGTCCACACTTTTCCCACGCTGATCAGTGCGGGTTGGTGAATGGGGTCGTTTCAGATACCACTCGACACTGACGTTACCCGTGGTAGGGATTAGGGAATCAACATTTGGTGTGACCGGGTACACAGAGAGAGAGAGAGACGCTCAGTGCGCCAATCACTTGCGCCACCGCTCCAAAGCAATGATGATAAGAGAGTAGTGACTGCCTGTATGTAAATTTTGATTTAAAGCTTTCGTGACTGCAGGGATTCATATTCTTGGTTCTTTCGGTAAAGTCACGTAGAAGGGAAATAATAAAATAATGTTGATATCAAACAATAGACATTTATTGGCTGTATGCACTCAATGCTCTCGGTTTAGAGCTAACAGATTCACAGGATCTCCTGCTAGCAGCCCAGCTTGGCGTGTTGCCATGTGATCAAGGCGACCCGAGTTGCATTCCCATTCACGGTCAATATCAGTGGCGAATATCTATCTTAACCCAGTTTGCCGGGGACTCCCCTGGGTCTACTCGGCCTTAATGTTTGCAGTGATGTAAACAGCAACGCTGGGAAGACAAAGACGACTGCGCGTGGGAGTTTCTCTGCAGCACCATCTCACTGTTCGCTTTCACGTGGCCCTCTCTGACAGCCCCTTGGCTCCAAGCAGCCCTGCACAATAATTGGTGGTTGTGGATCTCTCTTTGTCGCCTCCGTCCAATCTTGTGAACACTTGATACGGGTCCCAGCTGTAAGCGGCAGAGCTCGTGTATGGAGAGCACAGACAAGGCGCTGGCTTTAAGGGAAACATAATCGTATTTTGTTGCTCGCATTAAAGAGCCATTGCTAACATGCATTGGTGGGGAGGGAGGGGGGGGCCTCTATTGTTGTTTCGGTGGCCTGTTGCCGTGCTTAAACACGATGTGCTCCCGAATATATTTACAGAAAGGCAAGGCGTTGCATATGGACACGTCGTCAGCCAGTGTTTTCTTTTGTGTACGGAGTTGTTTACATGCAGCGTTTAAGGCAAGTTATTAAGCCAGCCCTGCGTGCTGGCTGATTGCAAGTCAAGGGGGATGCTTAATAAGTTATTTTGGTACAAAGTCACGGAATTATCAAATGTTTTTTAAAAAAAATTCGTTTGTTGTCCGTGTGCAGTGGGCTATTGTTTTGCCTGTGATCATAAAGGATTATATGCAAATATCCCACGGAGGGACACAGACTATTGTGTGTCTTGTGTGTTGTCTATATAATGGGGAGTGGCGACTCGGGTTCGATTCGCGCTCACGGCCAACACCAAGTGACGATTATCTTAACCGGTCATGGGCCTCCCCTAGGTCGACTCAGCCTGAAATTAGTACCCGGTGTGGTGTGTAAGCACCACCACTGGGGAGACAAAGGCGGCCGGGCGTGGTGTTGGCCGGCCTTAATAGGTGCTCGCAAACAGCACTTGCCCCAACAGTCTGCGCAGGCTATACGGGGGATCTTTGTCTTTTTTTGCGTGTCTATATATAGCCTGCATTACAAGCAGGACCTTGGAAGAAAGCAGGCTTCAAAGAGCATTTCATACACCACGTGTACCAAAACAGTCGCACACCGATGATGATCATGCAATAGCACAGGGCACTTTAACATTTATACATTCGGCATTTGCTGATACATGGACACCAGTGTGTTGTTTGTTTTTTTCTCTGTGATCGTAGCAGCCGGAATATATGCTTAAAGTTGCTTTGTACATACGCACACACAGCGCATAATTTCTGTGCCACTCTCAATCAATTGCCGGATAAATGAGTACTTCGAGAATTGGCCACCAGTTAGATACATCAGAGTTGTTCTCTGCTCTCTCAAGCTTGGACTCACAAGGGACGTTGCTGGCTCAGCATTCACATTTGTTCGAGTCCGGGACTCCAGTATTTGCGGCTGGCATTTTCGCGCGTGATCTCAACATTGCTTGTCGTGTATAATCAATCTAAATGTGCCGTTTTGCAGTATATGCACATTCGTCTGCTGTGTTGCCAAAGCCAGCCCTTTGTATGATGTATTGACCTTCTTGTTTTAACCCCTACACAACAAATAAACAGCATGCATTATTTACATTCCCTTTGGAGGGGCTGTCATTACCATATTGGGATGGATAATATATAGGGCGAATGCTGCCCGTGGTTGGGATCATTAGCACACCGGACATGACATCTAGAGGTCACCAGCTCGATTTCTATCTCCTGGCACGGCAGTTGAAACAATGTGCCAATGTCTTAAATCACCCCTCCTCCTCCTCTGTAGATCCAACAGTATGCATGGGTTCATCTCATACTCCCACCTCTACCAAGATGTCTGGTCAACGTGGAAGAGTAGGCCAAATACCCCCGAGATGGGCTCTATAACTCCGTCAATAGTGGCTTGAGCAAGAAGGTGCAAACCTGCAACTTTATATTTTCTCTATTATTGTCAATACATGTACAGTATATACATGTAAGCTAAATAAATGCAGTACGTACACGGATGTGATGTGTGTACAGTATTTATTTAACAGCTAAGAGGATTAATATTGATAATTACATGCATTGAACTGTGTAAGAATGCATT